CACAAAATGATACAGCAAAACCACACAACTTACCAACAGCCCAGTAATAAATGTCCCAATCATTAGAGGGTAGGTTGATGAGCCTGTCATAGTCCTTCAGCTGTGTTTCTGTCATATTTCCAAGATATTTGTCTGCAAACGTGCTCAACAGGAGGCCATTTTCCAACATTCCTCTCTTCCTTGACTGATACAATAATCTGTAGAAATAACAAGTTTTCCATAAAAACGCTGATCAATAAAATGCACCACAAAAACGTCACCTTGCTCGCTTTGTTTGTGTAGGCTCGTTTGGCTTTTCTTCATATGGAGGAATTGTGGGTTCATGGGACTCTGGATCCACTGGAATATCCACCTGTCTGCAACATGGAGCCAGCAGTGATACTTTTCTAGCCTGAAAAAGATTCCCGAACATAATCTTATAGAAGTAAAATAAATAAGAACACTTCTATATAATTTCGGAAAATACTCTTGTCCAACTTAAAAATGATATTCAATTATCAAAAATTCAGAAGAAAGCATGGTCAACATAAATTGAAAATTCAGGCAGATTTTTTTTCTCCAATTAACTTTAAAATTTTGAATAATCTTACATGACTTACAGCAGTACCATAACTAACTCATGAAACAGGAAAAGGAAAACCAAAGCTTCCCCGAGAATTTATGAAGGGCTCAATAGAAAATTTTGCCTCAAGTTTGCGATCATTCCTGAGTGAAAATTCTTCAAGTATCTTACACATCCTACACTGGAAACTCACCTGAAAAGGTCTGAAACTCGCAGTCACCAAAGTTTTCCACATATTTTCATCAATACGACACAACCTGAGACACAAACACAGGATCAACGGTCAACATTCCAACAGACGTCCCAAAAAGAAAGAAAGAAATCAACTCTTTCGTAACTGTTGCAAGAAATATCCTCAAACGCCAAATCGAAAACTACGACAACAACAAAAAAGCACAACAAGAACACTTGCATCACGGTAAGGGTTTCTTGCGAGTCGACCAAAAGTTATTTCGCTCTTGGTAAGGTTGGTAAGGGTCGTCCACCCAATACCGAGGACGGCGCCAATAAGGAGACACCATTCTGTCCAGCAATCTTGTTTGAGTGGCATTCACAAACACATGTTGGCGCAATTCCAAGCGAGCCTTTTCAGACTTTTTCCATAAATGCATGTCCCTGCCCGCCTTTGTTCTGATCCATATTCCCCTGCAACAAATAAAAATCAGGACTCCATCAAGGAGGCATCCATCTTGTCTTCTGAGGAAAAACACTTACAAGCTCGAGGACATGGCTTTTTAACCATGTGAAAGTTGGCAATTATGCCTTTTTTAAATGATTATTATAATTCAAGTCTGCTGATGAAATTTAGGGTTTGTCCAAATTTTCTGTTGAGTACATTCAAATTACATGGGTACCAAGTTCCTGGACCAGAATCCTAAAAATTATTACTGTAAGATGAAAACAAAATTTGTCCAAATTTTCTGTTGGGTACATTCAAATTACATGGGTACCAGGTTCATGGGCCAGAATCCTAAAAATAATTACTGTAAGATGAAAACAAAATTTGCAAGCTATTCTCTCTTCATTTTATAATGATCCTCACAAATTGTAGCCCTTGCTCACCAAGAAAAATTGAAGTAACCTTCTCATTTAACATTCATGATGAAAGAATAGAAAACATGCAAACTTTCTCATTGCAGGAAAATGATTTCAAATTATTAAAAATATTTTTATTTAGCCCAGAAGCCTGCAAATAAATTTTTAGCAGTTATGCCTCATTTTCTTGTAGTGGTATGGTTGACTTTCACATCTTACATTTTAATTTTGGAAATTTTTCACAAAACAATCAAATCCTGTACCAATGTACACATTTTTTTAGTACAAACCACTCTCCAGAAGGGGAGATCAGGACTGACAAGACCATCTAACAAACACTCCTTATACATGGTACAGTAATAATAAGTACTGCTGTTGGCATGCCTAGTACACGGTTGAATCCATAAAAGGAATAGGAAACAACTTCACGCTCACAGAACTCAAAACTAACCAGTTGAGCCTGAAAAAGCGAGATTTCACGACACTGCTGGTCTTCTGCTTCCCTTTGCCGATGGAGCAGTTGGTGATGCATCTGCTCACTGGCACATCATTCACAATTTTCGACACCGGCACTAAAAGCTTGCTTGCAAATGTGCCAAGGAAATTCATCCCTGCAACTGCAAAAATCCAGTTCAGCAAATCGAAAATTAAGAGGTTCACAGGGTTCTTTAAATCAGGACAGCCTCATTTTCTATATGAATTAAATTTCTAAATAAAAAATAAAATAAAATAAACACAAGTAAGTTCGATCGAAGATGAATCAAAAATCGACTCGAAAAACTACTGCACAGTCCTGATTTAAAAAAACATTTATAATTCACACCTTTACACTGCATCATGATAAAATGTATTTATTTTTCTTCAGACTGGAAGCAAAAAAGCAACCCCCAAAAAAGGACAGGTTTACAGAAAAAAAACCAAGGAATTCTTTCGCAATCTACACACGAAACACGGAGCTTCACGATAGCTTTTTGGCCTTGTGGTACAGCGAGTCTACAACCTTCCCCATGCTCTCTATAGTCTCCAGGGCTGCTTCGTAAGTCTTGTCTTTCACAGTCTCTGGGAACACCATTAGCACCCCCGCGCCTTGGTCCAGAACCCCACAGAAGGTTTCATCGAGGATCATCTGGCTCAGTTTCTTCTCCACAGTCGGGATTGGCAGTTTTATTATGGAAGCAGTGTAGGAAATCTGGAAAACATAAAATAAAAAGAAATCAGCATCAATTTCCGCATAAGTTCCGAACAATTCTTTCTCATCAGCAACTGTCTTCGGAAAAACTGCGCAAAAATATAAAAATAACCAACTTTTCAAAGGGAATTCATAATTTTTCGATCTTCGCAGGCGTTTTCATATTTTTGCGAACTCTCTAAATCAGTGTTCCCCAACCCTTGGGAATTTTCCCCAGCGTAATAAATTTATCAAAAGTAGAAATGAAGGACTTGACAGTATCTTTATCTGTAATTTTGGCAAGACAATGGCATTTGAAATTATCTGATGAAAAATGAAAGTTAGTTTTTCTCCCAATAACGCTTCAGACAAATTTTCACCAGCTGAAACAAATGATTAAAATTTTTCATTCTGAAAAACGTTTTTCTAAGCCCAGTTTGTTTGATTTGAAGACATTCCAATACGTCTGCTTCATTGGTTCTTAACATGATTTTTGCGAACAGCATAACATTTTCTAATATCTGCCATAAAGACTTTCAAACAAACTTTTTTTGAGTCTGCAAAAATTGTATGAAACTTTGCCGGTCCGCAGAATTTAGCATGAAAATGTGTCGGTCAAAAAAAAAAAATGTTATGGAAATTTGTGGATCCGCGAGCCCAAATCATTTCTAATTTTTGAAATATCAACTGCTTTCCTTACTTTTGACTAAACATTTCATCTTCTATGCCTGAATTTCAATTTTTTAAATCTAAAAAGTTTTCAGAATGTGATTAACTGATTGATAATATTTCAATCCGCCTCAAATTTCAGCAGCTGAATCGACACGGAAGGCAAAAAAAAAAAAAAGAAAGGGTCAAATGTTGAAAAATAAAGAATAAATCTTTCGCAGTCGAGAGAAACGAACCTCAACCCTCGAATAAGGCTCAACAATCCTGAGTAAATTCTGTTCCAGCATTTGATCATACAAGGAATCCAAATGTGCATGAATAACCGGGTCCTTCTCAAGCTCGTCCGAATTCTCTGTGACAGCGACTCTGAAATCCGCTAGAGATCGATCATGTGCCGCCTTCGCCACCCGTTTCATCGCTTCAATCTCCTTTCCCGCGTACCTACAATTTCATACGACAACCCAAAGGGAACACACAAAATCAATCGAATACTGCAAAAAAACCTTCATCAAAAACTTTTTACCGAAGGGCAAGTTTTCCACTGACAATCGATGGAACATCATCATGCGCTTTCAACATGATCTTTGCCAAGAGCATGTACTTGAGCGCCGTCAGGGCCCTTCTCCGTTCGTCTGCACTGTCGTAGCCTTCAAATGCTTCGTAGAAATAAGAGTAGGCTGTCTTGAAATCTCGTTCATCAGCTGCATGCAATACCTGCGAGAAGCAATATCAACAAAATATTTGATCACACACAGAGAATGACCCCAAAACCTTCAAAAAAAGAAATAAGGTAAATATAAACTTTGCCAAAAACCGCAATGGTTCAACTTGAGCATCAATGAAAGCTCAATTCAACGGTTTTAAAAAGGTACCCAATCGCATGCTTTTATCGGTCAAATTATGGCATGGTCACAGAGAAAAAGAAGAAAGAAGTCATTAAAATTGGGATACATTAATTTTCATTTTCGATACGTCAAAAAACAAGGAAACATAAAAGTCTAGGTTTCTAACTTCGAAGAATAGTTGGCTTCACATCTTCCAGGACATTTAATTCGTTATTCTTACTGTGGAATTTTTCAGCTTTTTGAAATCAAGACGACACTATGGTAGGAAAATCGCGTGTTAATTCGTTCGAATATTTCCAAAAATTATCCCAAAAATTTCAAAATTTCAACATAAAAGTGATTAAAAATAACTACAGACTTTCTTGAACATACACGGAAAATTGAATAAAATAGAATATCATCGCAACGAGGCGTTTTGGACCTCAACAAATTTCCTTTGAACAAACATTGGTTAAAACGAAATAAAAATGAAATTGTGGCTATTAAACATGGACCAAAAAACAAATTAATTGTAAGCATCAATTTTTCATAACGAGATTCTACCGTAAAAGCCTGCTTTAAAGAAAAAATTTGAGTTTCCTTCAATTTCCGAACAAACACATAATTAGGAGTGATTAAAAATTGAACCAGCACGGAAAATTAAATACAGTGGAGTATCGTCGTACCAACGAAGCGTTTGGACCCTCAAAAAAGTTTCCTTTGAACAAAAATTGGTTAAAACGAAATAAAAATAACATTGTGGCTATTGAGCACAAAAAAAACCCACAGAAAAAAAGAAATTCGTAATACGCAATAATTTGTTTTAACGTGATTCTACTGTACAAGCCTAACAAAAAATTAAAAAAAAACCACAATGTCTATCAAAAAGAGCAGCTGCGTAATGAGATCCATACAAACCCCGGATTGCAAGTCCAAAGCAGCTTGGACTTTCGGTGGGGTGTAGATCCCATTGGCAGTGGTTCTGGCAGAAGTAAGCGCGGCCCGGGCCTTGGGCAGGTTCCCCAGGCTGTGGTAGATCTTGCTCTCACACAGCAAAACATCCACAACCAGGTGCTTGTCGTCCAGCTTCTTGAGCTCCTTCAGGAGAGGAGTGCCCAGCTCCAGGGCATCAGAGTACATCCCGTTTTGCTCGTACAACTGCATGAGTCTCACTGCCAGGCTCTGGCGCAGGAATGTCCTGTTTTCTTCCTTGGCCCATTCGAAACATTCCTGGAAAAATAAAAAGTTAAAAAAAAATATTATTTAAATAATTTTCGGTACTGTACCGTGAAATTCAGGTTCTAACGAATTAGAATTTTCTAACAACACTGGCATCAATAGCAAAATGCGAATTCAAAATCTTTAGATACAGTACTTTCAATTGCTTACATGAAACCAATCGACATTTTCGGGCAACGTTTAATCCGAAAACCATGTTCAAAGAAATTATGCGCCATGTCTTTTTTTTCGTAAGTGACGAAGAAAATTTTAGAACTATTTTAAATATCGTACTTGGTAGCATTCCAACTGCCGGCAAGTTATAAAATAACCTAACTTCCTAAAATTAATTGGGTTAAATTTCTCATAAAATCATCTCAATGTGGCTGAGCGAAAATTATCTAGGATAACTCTGCAAAAAGGATATACTGTACTGTAGTAGAATTCCGATACAGCGAATTATCGCTTACAACGAATTCGTTTTTCCGTTCCATGCCCCATGGCATGAATTTTCTTTCAGTTTATTCCCGAATAATTGTTCCACAGTAATTTTAATAGTCCCAATAGATTCTATTGCACACCGAAGAAAGAAAAACAGAAGACAAACCAAATTTAAAAATAAACACCATCTCTCTCTGTCTCTTAGAATACTTTCTTTTTGGCAATGAAAACTCACTTGACAGAGCTCCACTTCGAATCCAGTGCCAGCGTCCATATCTAGAAACATCTCGACCAGGGCTCTCACCAACTTGGCAGCCTTGGCCTTGCTGATGAGGTTCAAAAAGGGTCTGGTGGTCTTGATCAATTCTCCCAACTCTGTCGCCTTTCCCATGTGCTTCAGCTGCTGTCCAAGCTCCAGGATTATTTGCTCCTTTGTCCTGATCTCTTCTTCGGTTTTCACATCATCATCTAAGATACCGGGATTCAGAAATACACATTTTTTTCTTCTCGAGTATCATCCTTTTCCGCATCAAATAAATCGAAAAATTTTCAAATTTCATACAGATCCGTTTCACTTGTCCTACATTCCAGAAAATACTGGATTATACACCGTACTAATATTATATAAATCATATTAAATAGATAATATATTCAAAGCGAGTTGTCGAAACAACTTCAACAGCAGTTTCCAAAGAAAAACAGAATGCCCGAGAAATAATACCGATCAGACTGGAGTAAAATTCCACACGCATAAAAACCGGATATGCAATATAAATTCAAGATTTATCTTCAAATGTTGAAGACAACAAATTCCTGTCATTTAAAACTTACGATTAATATCTCAAGTTTCTCGAAATTTCCATTCTGAGAACATTTCGAGAGATGCAACATTCATTTACCTATTTTCTGCATGGGTAAAATAAATCGTTTACTACTTGTTTAATTTGAGGGAAGCAGTTGATTTTCCAACTCACTGGGCTTACAATTGAGGAAAAAAGTATATTTTTTAATATACGTGCATCATAAAAATCGAGAAAAAAAAAAACCATCAGCGATATTTTTCGAAGAAAGTAAATCTCTTCTCGGTAAAAGTGACTCACGTAGCTTGGAGATGAGCAACTCTACTTCCTCTTTCGCCTCATTTGCTATCAGGCCACCGCCACTGCTTAAAACCATCGCGGTCGCCATCCTCACTTTTTTCAACAATTCCTGCAATCAAATTAATAAAAAATATACAAATACATATACAGCACAAGAAATGAATCAGAATATTCACAGTCAACAGTCCAAAAACAAGAATTCAAGGCAGTAGCAAATATATTCTTCCACAAGCCCAAACACTGAACAAAAAGCCGGCGGTTTTTATTCTTTCAAATCTATAACACGTTGTTCGGAAACAAACAAAAAAACATTGACTCTCGGGAAGCGGTTTCGGCAGACTAGAAAAAAACAACGCACCTTAAGCATCCACAGGAAGCGAAGATCTCAGCAAAATTCTTTCTTTTTCTCACCCCCCTCTCCCTGCATTTCTTACCTGTTCGGTACACTTTTTAAGCCAGCACAAAAAAAAAAAATACAACACAGGATTGTCGGAATACCTCGTGGGGGGAAACACGCGGGAAGCCAAGAAGAGGCTCTCTGTTCCACTTATTTGTTCTTGTTTCCTTCGCAGATCACCCGATCATTTTCGGAAGCAGTTTCCTCGTCGCCAGATCGTCCAGCACCTGAAGGAGAGGATATTTTTCAGCATAATTTTCGTTTACGTGGAATCTCGAATCTTCAGGGAAGATAGTAAATTTGGCGGAATCAATCGCACCAGAATTTCAAAATACTGTACGGGACTCATTCAGGGAAGTTATTTTCATAATTCTCAGACACTCCCCGTTAAAAATTCTTTGATCAAAAGAACTTTTCTTGAACGTACTGGAAAGTTTTTGACAAATTTCTTTCAACAAGGCTGAACCCAAAAATACTTGCTGCTAAATACAGTACAGTATTTATCTGCGTTCCCAACTATCTGCCACCTCAACTGAAATTTTAAGAAATCAAGAACGAAGGCATTTTGAAATTCACCAGTTAAAAAAAATATGTTTCACTTGATTGATAAATTTTTTCGAGGATTTGGTTTACAAATAACAACTTGCATATAACATCACTCCCCCTAGATTGCTTTCTTTTTTTTCAATGTCCAGACCCATCAACGCACTACTCACCTTCGCAATTTCTTCAGTCAAAAATTTCGGATGGGCAAGTTCAAACCCAGATTCCTTGAGCTTCGTCGCATCCAGGGATAAAGGCTTGTTTTTTTTTCAATGTCCAGACCCATCAACGCACTACTCACCTTCGCAATTTCTTCAGTCAAAAATTTCGGATGGGCAAGTTCAAACCCAGATTCCTTGAGCTTCGTCGCATCCAGGGATAAAGGCTTGTTGAGCAGTGTTTCTGAAGTCACATACGGACTAATGGGAGTGTTCTCTACTCCCGACTTCTGACACATTTCTGCCCAAGGTATCATATGCTTTTCGTTCACCTCTTCCACTACTCCGTCCAAGTCCAACTGCAAAAAAATAAATACAAATTTAAGAATATCAGGACCAATTTACTCAGTGAGTTTTTTAAAAAGACATGTTTCACAAAATATTATGTTTGAGAAAATCATAACAACAAACTCACAACTAAGAAATTTTCCCGTGTATTTTATATTTGATGCCAAAAGGCTGATGAATGATTCGGTAAATATTATATTTATGCAGGTTGACTCACTCTCTCTACATCAATATTTCAATTTATATTATATTATACAAGGGTTGGTTCATAAATTTTGAAAATTCTTGAAATAGATCCAACAGAGTTTCAACAATTCCTTTTCTTTTACTTGTTGAACAGCTCCGACGTGTTGCCAAATGATGGGGCTTTGCGAGTAAAAAAAGAAAAGAAGAATTGTTGAACCTCTGTTGGATCTATTTCAAAAATTTTCAATCCTCGTTTTTATAGATTGACTCTGCAAAAAAATTTCCTCTACAACGATTTTTTTCACGTCCCATGAATATTGTTATATAGAGAGTCAACCTGTATAAATATAATACAGTATAAACCAAGAAGTCCATGGTAGAGAGAATTCTGTTGTCGAGAACCACTGTTAGATTGGTACAGAACCCTATGAAACCGAACAAAAATTCGTCATGTACAGAGAAAATTTTTACAGACAAAATCGTCATAGAAAAAGACCATCTTCTTAATTTTTCTAATATCACTAATTAAGATTTACGCTCTCATAAAATGCTGGTGGAAGCCATTTTCAAGTAGGAAAAGCAAAATGTCACAAACCTTGGCAAAAGTGGACAGAGCAGCTCCCAGGTACTCGTATTTGATACCGAAGAGCTGATGAATGACTTGGTTGATGGACTCCTGGTTGGAACAATTGTCATCCACCAAATGATACACTTCCCCCGAGATCCCAGCGGCACAAAGATGGCAAATGGCTCGACACACGTCATCCACATGCACAGTGTTCACTGGAAGTTCCGCAGCATACAACACCTTCATACCTTCATCCAGGTACTTGTACAAGCCTCCGATAACAACCCTAGGGGCTGGGGACAATTTTCAGATTAATTTAAATTCCACTCACAAAAAAAAAATCCAAGGCACTTACTCAGACTTTTATAATCACTCAGTCCGTAAATAATCCCTGGGCGCAAAACGCAATAGTTGAGACCCTGAACGTCTTTCAATGCAGATTCCACTTTCGCTTTCATCTTGGCTGACAGAGTCCAGGGACTCGGAGACTCACTTTCCTTCTTCGGCTGGAGAAATTGTTCAAAAACTTTCAAACCCATTAAGCATGTAAAAATGATCTTGAAATGTACCTTGTCGCCGCTAGAGAACATCATTCCAGAGGACAACTCAATGTATTTCTTCGCCGAGGCCTTGGCTGCAGCTTCCGCACAATTCAAACTTAGTTTGTAGATCCCATCTTCGTAGATTTGTCCAGCAAGACCGAGTCGGGTTTCCCCAGCAAGGTTTATCACAAAATCGTAACTCTCAGCTCCAAACGCTTTCTCACAAGACACTGTGTAAGAAATATGTATAAAATAAATATCTGAAGTCACTCACCAGAAGATGTCAACGATTTAATACGTGGGATTCCATAACGGGGAAAACAGGTTTTTGAGCGGTTCAAAGTCGCAATTTGCGAGTTATTAAAAAGTCACAGTATTAGTAAAAATGATGGAATTTTTTGGAAGCACAGGTTAATTCAAAACTTGAAAATTAATGATGAAATCAATCTTCCCCAAAAAGTTTCTTTTCGCTTATTGTCGCGGATGATCCAAATTTTGCCCCCAATGAATTTAAATCTATCAAAAATCAGTTTTACATTCTGAACTAGTATGAGGTACAGGGTACGATTCAAAATTGTGGTGTAAGAACTTTGGAGTCCAATTTATACGAAAATTTTTCTTGATTTTAGAATGTTACAAATCGATGTGATAAAAATAAAAACTTGAAAGTAAACTCTCATTGTTCATCAAGAATATATATTTTTTTCAATTTCGAAAGAGACTCGCTAAAGTTTTCCCCATTAAAATTCAAGTTAATCCTTAACAATCAGCGTATTCCGCAAAAATTAAAAATGAACTACTCCTTGAAAAATATTAGACTTGCTGCCAATCAACGAAATTTCGAATTACTTCAGGTAAACCTCAACTTTCACAATTTATGGATGCACTTTTAACTCTCTGTCTTATTTTGACGCACATCAGGGTGATTTTAAGTTGACAAATTTTCAGTTACTGTAATACCTTTTCAATCAAAATCATGTCGATTTTTATTCACGCAAGAAAAACTTCGAAAAAGTAAAACCAAATTCATTCGCAAAACACCATCGTACTTCCGACTAAACTCAAATATTTTAACCTTTCTTTTTTGCAAGTGGACTCAACAATTTTATCAAAAAGCTTTGAGTCAATTATGATATTCTTCGATATTTACCAGGATTCATAAGATTAGCACTGCGAAATTCAACTTGCGGCGATGAGAAGACCCTTGAGTGGTGGTCATCAAACCACGCCAATGCCGGAGGAACCTTGTCAACAACAACCACTTTCTCCAACCCGAGTTCTTCCACTAGATGTGCCACCAAATGCCGTCCAACAAATCCACAACCTGAAGACAAACGCATAATTTATTATTCAATGAACGAATTGCTTTTTTTCTTGTGTTTCCGAATTTTTTCAAATCACCTCCAAGAACGAGGACACGTGCGTGTGTATTCATGTTGCAGAATGATCACAAACTCTTTCTCTTTCACAATAAAACAATGCCCAACAATTTGCGCGGAACCAATTCAACGAATCACCAACTTCAGCGAGAAAACAGCCTTCGAAATCACCAGCAAAATCTGTTAAATGTTCCCTGCAAAAAAATAAAAATAACAATTACATTCTGCACAGGCGAACTTCACGAGAATTTCGTACAACTTTTTGAAGATTTCTCTCAAGAAACACGGTATCTTAAAAAAAACCCCTTTCACGTGAAACATTTGTAAAAATACGTGATGCACCTTTTTTTAAGCACAAGGTCTGAAACGTCACAGCAGCAAACCACTTGAATCACATTTAAAATTGGAATGAATGAATCGAGAGACTCAAAATCTCTCTTTCCAATACCCAACCAACATTTCCTTCACAGTCTCCTCAAACCAGTCCTTCAGCTCTGTGTCTAGAGCCACTTCTGCAACAATCAGCGCCCTCTGCACCAACCGAAACTCTCCAGACAACAAAAGCTTCACAACGTCCATTTCCCCAAGATTCACCATCTCAGCACCTCCTAACCAAGCATTCCCACTTCTTGCCAATTTTAAAAGTTTGATGTAATCCTTGGGATTATCGAGTACAGTGGACCAAACTCTTTCTAGAATCTTCGGGACCAGGTCATTCCTGAGGAAGAAATCGCAGCACAACCGCACTCCACAGAGTCCTTCAACGTCCAGACTGTTTAAAACCGGAGTATCATCGTGTTCTGCGATTTCTAGAAAGGCTAGAAAGTCCTTCAGGTCACAGGCTTGACTGAGGTCGAGTTCGGAGCTGGTTTGTTCGGCGAAATTGTGGGAGAACATGGCGCTGAAAAATTCTGAAACTTTGCACAAACGTTTCCTGGGTACTGACATTGTTCCAGAGGGAAATTGCAGCGAAATGTCTGGCGATGATGAATTTGTAGACGCCACTTCGTCCTTCGCAGGGATGCAAATTACTGAAGTGTTTGCTGATTTGAACTGTTTCGCACACGCTTCCCGAGAATCCTTGGATTTCCAGCAGCGTTTGCCAGGGTTTTGAATTAAATGATGTTCTATTTCGGTGTGAGGTCTCGTCTCTTGTTTTTGAAGATCCTCTTCGCACAAAACTGTTTGCGACTCTCTCTTGACAGAAATATCCTCACTTTTCAGGCCTGGGAGTATATCTTGAATGGGCTTCAACCAATGTACAACTTCTGGTCTCTGGACTTGAATCGGTTTCTCAGAGATCGACGACGACGAAACTTCAGACCTTTCTTCAAGATTGCACTTTTCCGCCACCTGTGCTTCATCATCCACTTGGTGATCGCCTGACGATTCGAAACTCTCAAAAAGTTCAGGTGTTTCGACAGTTTCCAGTCTCTTTCTTGCCAAAGCTTCAGCAGTCAGGTCGTAAAAGGCATTAGACCGATAACCGATATGAGTATTCAACTCTGTCTCTTCGCCAGGAGGAGACAAAATAGGGACACTCTCACCTACAGGGAATCCGGGATAAATTTCTTTCCTGACAGATGTTCTGAAATAGCGGAGCACGTCCGGGTTTTTCTTCAAGATGCCCCATAAATCAATCGCATTTTGATTCTTCACTAGAGTCGGGAATGAAGAAGGAAGTTCGTGAGGAAACTCTATTACACACGTGCGAGAAGCGAAAAGATGCAAGGCATGAACACCGTAAATCCAACGCATGGTCCGCTTCAAACTGCCCTTCTTTCCACGGAAAACAAGGTCCAAAAGAACTTCTAGTCCTCCACGTTCGAACATGAGTCTTCGAAAATCACAGCTCAACTTCCTGAGGAATGAACCCAATATATAAACAGTCAACCCAGATTTTTCTTGCATGAAAGATGGGCCAAACGAAGAAATTGGGGGGTTTTTCTAGGGATATCATTGAGTTATTACTGGGAATCAACTCACGCATAAAATAAAAAAACTCCAGATAATTTCTTTTCTGAATTTAAATTATTGAAAAAAGGTTTCCGTCATTACATGACACCTTTACACATTGAACATTTTATAAATAAAGAGGCAGCTTTCCTGGAAACATTGCTGATTCCTGCACATTGATTGATACGTAATATAAAACTCAACCAGACTTAAAAAAAAACCGCTGCTCTTCACTAGACAAAATTTGGGTAAGAATCTAATATATTCTGTCCTTTCAGATTTACCGAAACACAGTACAGTATAAAAACACCTACTTAGGCTCAAGTTGTTTTTTGTGGTTCTCATGCATAAAATAGACAAGGTTTTGCCTGAAATAAAAACCATCAACTAAACCTTCCTCTCACGCATTAACCTCGATTTAGCGCCAAAAAATGTGACACTGATTCAAAGCTTGACAGCAGTTTAAAAAGGACACTCTTTCAGTGAACCTGGGGAAAGGAAAATAAAATAATACATGCCTCGAGGCAAGGGGTTGTCCAGTAAATAAAACCACGGCAGACAGCACAGCACTGGTTCTCGACAAATCCTGCGTAGATCCTCCACAGACAGCTTTCCAAAGTTCTGCGGAACCAAATCGCGAAGTTGCCTTGTAAAACGAGGTGATCACAGAGCCTGCATCGTCCATGAGCAACAAGTCATACTCCGATGGTAGGCAGTTCTCCACCACAGCACGGTAACCAGCATGATCCCTGAAACATTCACATCGAAAATCAGAAATTAAAATATCGAAGAATGAAATCCCCTGCATGAAATTATAGATCAAGTACCGTACCCCAGATTGTGTAATTTTTTTACTCATACATCATATGCCCTGAATGAAGATTTGCGCCTTCGTTTTTCGGCACAAAATATGCCGAAAAATATATTCCACCTGAGATTAATTTCTGACTTACACCGCTACGTTTTCATGATTTTATTTTGACACACACACCCCCTTTTCTGCCTCAATTCTTCTTGAAAAAAAAGGTGCGCGTGGTTCCCGTAACCACGTGAATTGGAATACTTCGTACTTCTTTCTTCACACAACTTTTTCGCATGTCATCACCGAACAAAAGCCAGCTAAACACACGTCAAGATTTAAAAACCAAATGAAACACTCACTCGAATGAGTTCTTCAACAAGCTGATGGCGTTGTTGTGAATCACAACCTGAGGCTGGCCAATCTGGTCTTTATCCACCATCGCAATGAACATCAATGATCGTTGTACATTCGGCAGGGCAAAGTTCACACCCGGGGCACCAACGTACAATCGCAAAATTTCCAGGGCCCTAACAATTTTTGAAGATGCGTTGAATGAATGAGCAGCTCGTCTCTCCTCCGAAGCCACCTTCGTAGCCTTCCTCATCGTCAAACTAAATGGAAGGAGTAAAGGAATTGATTGAAAAATAATTTAATAAATCCGTCCGTTTGTTAATACACTAAAATGCGCTTCGGATATAAAATGCACATTGATTTTTCAATCACTAATTTTTCTGAATTTAAGTAAATTTTGGCATTCATCCTCATGAGCGAAATTCGAGTACATTGCGATAAAACAGTCACACGAAAATTTATTTTAACCACGAGCACATTTTCAAACATGTTTCTTTCAAATACGAGCACAATTTTCGACCACCAACGCACTAGCCTTTTAATTCCAGATCCGAGACAGCGTCGATTTGAAAGCTTAACCTTCAAAACCTTTCTTTTACGTCAAAATTGGCAGAAACTTGCGTCTAATATTTACTTTAACAAGGACTTTAAAGGCAGAAAAAAAGTAAATAAAACAGGCCCTCACAATTGCTCGACGCAATCGAAAAGCCAGCGTTCACTCAACCGAGACAAGAACAACGGGACTTCGTTTCGCGTAGCCACGTATTGCTTGTTGAGAATGAGACACTGAAGTATTAGATTCAAGTTGATAAAGGAAACGGCGTCGAATTTTGGCATCAAAACGGCTTCCGTCAAAGCTCCGAAAAGTGCGTCGCAAACGGCAGTCTGGTCAAAAAGGGCTCCGTTCACATTTGCCTCCAGGAGCTTCACAAACGGGAAGACTAGGAACTGGAAATCTGGGGATATAATAAAGGGTATAACTGTATCTGACTGGTGCTTACACGAATTCCGAAGTCATGAATTAAATAAGACCAATCGCAGATGATTAGTAAATCAAATATTGACAGTAGTTTTCGACAATACTCATTCTTCTGATCTTACGAACTAAAACTACGATTTCACCGAATATTCATGCCCCATAAATGTTGGAACAATGATTAAAGAAGAGTTCAATAAAAAAATTGGCAAAATTACTGTACACTCATCTCTCACGAATAGAACTATAAAATCACAGGTAAGTCTCCAATTGTATAAACTACACTCTCATTTTTTAAAAACCTGTGGGGCCTTAAAAAATTCCTCATAAGACAAAATTTTGTTAAATGAAATTAAAACGAAATTGTGAGTATCGGACAGTGCACAAAAAATCTTCGTTGTAAGCATTAATCCGTTAAAACGAGATTCTTCTGGGAAAAAACCATCAAAATGACACTCGTCTCTCAAAAATAGAATTATTAAATCACAGGGTAAGTCTCAAATCATGTATTTTGAGTAAAAATAGCTACATAGTCATGAACCACAATGTCCTCATTCGAATTGCCTATCTTCGATTGTACTGTACTTGGAAACCTCAAAAAAAAATACGATGCTTTAAAAGTGGTACAACCCAGAAAAAAGGATTGAGAATAACTCTGGTAGATGGCGCACTAGCCCGAAACAAAATCAACCTCAGCAAAAGCGCAATCGAGTTTCGCGCAGGATCGCAGCACATAATTTACCTTCGTCAGTGACTTTCTTCCCCTCGATATTCTCAACAAGGACTTGAATTGTGTCCCGATCGACAACACCCAGGTCGAAGTAAACCCGACTGAGAAGCACGGATACAATTGAATATGCAGCCTTCCATATTCTGTGATCGGCATGAAGGCAAAGGGACGTAACGGATTGAATCAAACCACGGAATTCCTGAAATAGGAAACAAGAATCCATCAAGAGTTCCAAAGGTAGGTTAGAGGAAGAGCAAATGCAAAAACGAGCACTCGAATAATCACGCAAATGAATAAAACAGTACGTACCAATAACCAAAAAAAAAAAATTCATGCAACTTGAATTTTGCATACTTATCTTCATAAAAAAAATTGTGATTTGGTTTTTACAATATTCATACGTAGCACTAAAAAAAGTGCGTAGACAACACGGCACACATCAGTTTTCTAATCCAAACTGTATAATTTCCATAGTCACAACTGGTACTGAAAAAAGACTACTCCTTCATACTCAACATTGGGTGGAAACAAAAGGTCTACTTCACTATGTACTAGAAAAGAGCTAATACTGTACGATAGTGGCGAACAGTAAATTTTCGTTTCTACGTATCATCTAAAAGAAACAATAACAAAAATTCTGATCAGGAGACTTTATATTTTGATATTTCCTCAAAAATTTAGGTGTCCATACAATTTATTTAAAAAAACACGTTTTTTGCACAATTGCTCTTCTGTACAAAACTTTACTCCGCTTTTCTGAGAATTTTTCATCACTTACTTTTCTGAGGATTCTTCAGCAACACGTAAGTGAAGAATCATTCGTTTCTCCTAAAAAATGTACTGTACGCGGAAGAATAAATACTGACCGGAGATTTACATTTCTCCTGGAAAACCGGGATTTGCTCATTGGTCTGCACAATCATCTTCACCAGCTGAAGAACCTCCATCAACACGGCCATTGATTGTTCGTTGGATAACAAGTACGCAATCCTCGGATCCATCATCAACTTCTGCGCTTCACTACTGCTCAAAGCTCCTTTTAAAAATATCCTGCAAACGAAAAGAAAAAAATGAAATCCCCATTCTCTTTAAATTTAAATCTAAATATAAATCACCGGATACTTGAAAGCACGGACACAGCGAAGTCCTTCTCACAGAGAAACCGCGGGGAATGTAATGCAGAGTGAAGAGTACTGTAAGCGTCGCAATTTCGGACAGAGTACTTCGCACTTCGATTCATGATGACCTCAAGGTGCTTCCAGCTCTTCAACAAATCGTCCGAGTGATAAGCAGCCATTTTACTGCGAAGAATTGCGGCAAACAAAGGAATATCCCAGAGCTGTCATAAGAGAAGACACTCGAAATAGTAGGATTAACGGGAAATAAGAGTCTCAGGGACCGGTTTCACACTGTCCTCTAGCAGCAGTTATACGATGGTATGCTTAGATATCGCTGCAGTATATTTGCAATTGTAATAATGCGCTGACTTTTACATGGTTTCAATTCCAGGGAATTGGAGACTGGAATGGAGAATGGAGACTCAAACAAGATCCTCTGATCTGACTTCAAGATACACGTGTTGAAAAAATAATACTGTAATAAAAAATGCATCGATATCTTGTATCAGCGCTATGTACATTGAAATACTAAAAATTAAATCACTCAATTACATTCAAGTACTTTTCACTATTCTCTCCACAGTTAACTGGCACTGCTGTTGGAGGGAAGCATGAAACTTGAGTCCAAGACCACAGCCACTCACCTTGCAAGCAAATCGTATCAAATTCTGCCGTAATGCAACAAACACAGCATCCAGAATCACAGGATCTTTCTCCACCATCGCCAGCAAGAGCAGCTGACGAAATCCTCCGGCACAAGCGAACACTCCAATACCGATGTTAGAGCGAGTCACTTTACAACTAGCGGCACGAATCACGGGTAGCAGATCCGGTAACGGTTTACGTAGAATCTTCCCCACTTCCGCAACGAAACCGGAAGAACTCAACGACGGGACGTGATGACCGTGATGCAGACACGGATGAGAATGCACGACACACGTGGGAGAATCGTTATCGAACATGCGAGTAGACGTCGCGAATAGTTTGGATGTGTCATCTCGGGACTGACCTTCCGAAAGTGAGGTCCTTGTTGTGGCTCCCGACAATGGGATCGAGGATTCGGAAGAACGCGAGGCGTCCAGGGCATGTTTCACCGCTCTCATAAGCACTGCGAAGTCTTCGCGAAACCACTTATACGCGTTCTTTCTTTGGTGATCACTTTTATCCTCATCATCAGGATGGCAAGGGAAACTTGGCGCGGTTCTCGCAGTGTACGCTGATAGCCATTCGGCCGAGATCATCTAAAATTCGTACAATCACAGTAGTTGAAAAAGGAATCTCTTATCAACGCAGCAGTTACGTCATGCACACTCAAGGTTCCAAAATTGAGGAAAGGATTGTAGAGACGCACTTTCATCGCATTCCGTTTCAGGAGTCGACAATAAGGCTCGAACTCTCCTTCCTATCCTCATCACGTAATTCCCGCAAGGCTCGTATCCAATACGTTGGACAAAAGCAGCAGATCGCGGTTTAATAGATTACGACGCGTAGTTTGAAGTTTAGGATTTGGCACACAAAATGTGAGAAACACGCGAACTGTTCACAAGGAACGAAATTTAACATATATTTTCAGCGAGTACAGCATATACCGTATTTTCTCGACAGCGTGACTCCGTTGAATTCCATGCAACCCATGGTGTATTTTTTTTTATTTAATAGAAGAGAATTACATGCATTATCACGAAATGATTTCTCAGACCGAAAAGATTCATGACACTTCACTATGACTGTGGAAAATTCAGAGAAGAGTCTTCATCTGACGACGAATTGATTTCACATAAACGAAATGGTCGTCACTCACCGGAATATTTGCGACACAATTCACGTAACACTTCGAATCACTTCCGCATCCTTTCACTCAAGAACGTTCGGCGGAATTATTTCGAATTTCCGCATGATGGAGAACTGCTTCCAGTTGTAGGCCTCATCGCGGTGGGATTGTTGAACAGTATAGTATGCCGCAGAAGCAACACAACGCACCCAACAGATTTAAAAATCCATTAGATGTCAGTCAATGAGATCTAAAGCTTAACGCCCTAGGATAATCAATTTGCCATTTTGAAAAAATAATCTTGTTTACTACATTTGGCTCTTGACTGAGACAGGCTTAAATTAGAGGCATACCTGAAAAGAATAAATAAAATAGAACAGAAATACACGAAGTTATTCATTTTTTCACGTCTAAATTCTTACATCTGAGGTTTGTGATTTTTCTCAGCCAGCCATTCTCTGGGATCACAATAGATTACCACAGAATTCGCTCATCTCGCTGCATTTATCGGCCCTTACCGATGCAATCACTGTAATATGCAATTTAACAAGAGCATCCATTCATATTTAAAATATTCTACAAGAAGACACGTTGAAAGCGTTGTTTCAATTTCGTAACAGAGAATATCCAAAATTTATAACAGCAGAGATGCTGCAGTTTAAAAACGCATGTTTCAAATTCAGATTCAAAGCCTTCATAGTTCATGCGATTCGAAAAAAAACGTACATCTGAAAAATTTTGTCGGTTTGTAATTTTCACGAGCAGTACACCTTGAACCAGTGTAAATTTTGTTTGCAAAAATCGTTTGAAAAAATTTTTCAACCGAACGCTAAAAAAAAAACAACACGATTCGACGTTCACTCACTCTCTTTCACTCCCAAGCAACGAAAAAAAAATTGCGACGCATTGGAATAAAAACTAAACAAGTAGCATCCACACTTTCACGCGACAATTTCATTTGAGTACGAAGTAATAAAAAAACCGAGAAACGATGGTCACCGCTAAAATAAGACACGCTCCCAGAAACTTCTCGGAATTCTCGCTTTCTTTCAGTAAAATTAAATTCAGCTTCGCGACGGATAATGCCAGACGATTCATTGAATTCCTTCAATGAAAGATTTTTTAAAGTTCAGGGAACCGTTGTTTCGCGTGGGGAAGGGCTCAAGAAATCCACACCGAAATTCATTCGAGGTCAGCACTATACGAAGAGACTTGAGTGGATCATTTCGAATCGATCCGCTGCGATATGTTTAACTGGTGAAAAGGAGTAAAGCGCACAGAAAAAAATAATTCGATGAAAAAATTATTACTCCCATCAAATTAGCATCATCATTTGAAATTCATCATCTGTTTTCCGGAATTCAGCACGATTTTGGAAGCAGATTAATCCAAAATTGACCACCAGGAATTCTCAGAGTGCAATGATTTTAAATCAGTACTTCTCGCAACTGCTGATTTTTTTTTTTGCTACTTCATTCCATAAAAAGCAATCCGCAGGCGTGAAATTGATGCCTTAATCCACTTCTAAAATAACGCCATACATTCGGATACAGGACAGAAGTTTCGGAAGAACGAAAAATTATTCCAGTAAACAAAAATCAGTTCAAATGGTGATTTTTCCTGAGCGTTTTTCTCCTCGAACAGCGTTTCACCATTGACTAAGCAAATTCGAAATGAATAAAACAGATTGTAAATCATAAGTGCTCCAGACAGGCGACTTCATCAAAAAATGAGTGGAAACCATCTCCTTGTAACTTCATGCACGCAAACTCAGCTTCACTGTAGCCATGCCACCGACCGGAACAAGACAAAAACGAAGAAGCACGACTCATCACCACTCAGCATCACCCACAGCCCGTTGGAACACGTAATCTCGTCCAACAAGGTTCATAATCCCGTCCTTGAAGTTGAAACGCCACCGATTCCGAGCATGTGAGATCTTATCGTATTGACACACGACCACGTTTTCCGTGTCGAAAATTGTAGCTGGATCCTCGTCGGTAAGATCATCTTCAGAGTTGAGAGGCTCTTCTTCTTCCTCGTGCACGTCTTCGTCTTCATCCGACCTCAAGTCTTTATCGCCCTTTTGCTTATCTTTCTCCTTGTCGTCCTCGTCATCGTCTTCATCCTCATCCTCCTCGTCATCTTGCATCTCGTCGTCTTCGTCGTCATCACTGGAATCCATTTGCGCTCCGTCGAATTGAAAAACTACGCTGATTTTCTAGATATTGAAGAAAAACACGTTAGCTCCTACGTACTGTGCTTCGCAGTACCAAATACTCGATTAATGCATACAAAAATCCACGAAAACAAAGAATCGTATTGAGAAGTCCCTAAAATACACTCATGAAAATGGAGCACTTCTGTAAACAACTTTCACGAGAAATCAACTTAAGTTATACACATTTATTCCAGTTCATCTTTACTGAAAAATTTTTCAATGAAACTAGGCGCACAAATAATCCTTTCTGAAACACCATTTTGTACAGGTGAGACGGTGAAATGCTTGAAAATATTTCACGATAGAAAAAATCACACCTTTTTCTTTTTTCGATGTCGGCGGCGTGTCGGAATGAAACTAGCGCCATCCAGCTGAGATACGTTGTCCACGCTTCGTAGTAATGCTTGATTGATAAGCTTTTGCAACACATCCGTGGCGGTTTCAATTGGCAATGCCATGGCGGCGGTGGCGGCTGGGCTGCTGAGAATGGTTTGCAATTGCGATGCTCCAGTTTGAAGCGACGTAGATGGAACCTGCGGAGATACGTTTCACATCAACGACTTCCAACGCATGAAATACGAACACTTTCTCATAGATTAGGACTTATTTTTCTAATGCTTAAATCATCATGAACCCTTCCATTTTTGCTTGTCCCATGTTAAAAACAACAAGACTAGAGTTGAAACTTGAAAGTGTACCACATTCAAGGTAAATATGCTGTACAGAAAAAAATACAAAGAAATAACTAAGTTTACTCTCATGAAGAATTAACTTCTTCACGGAGTTTCACCCTTAAGGCGGACAGTTCATAACATGGAACAGAAACGATCGGATGGGAGTAAAACAGCTTTGATTAAAATCTCATGGAATTATTGAATCGTTCAACTTCCTTCGATGATCTCTTCCCTATCAAAAAAGCAGATTCTATTTGATCAAAATGACGAACAGAAATTTTCAGAAGGAGCCTAGCCAAGTTCTTCAGCAAAAGAATCAACAGACCTGAATCGTGATGGTTTTGACCGAGTTTTGCGGGGATCCGGTAGACATCGGGATATTAATTTGAACAGGAATCAACTGAATGGATGATGGCTGCTGACTGGCTGGTTGTTCAGCGCGTACTTCGAATCCAGATGCGGCTGAGGCTGAAGAAGCAGCAGCTGCGGCAGCTGCTGCTGCAGCAGCTTTAGCCTCTGCAGCTTTCGCAGCTTTAGTAGATTTCACATCCGGCTTGGAATCATGTTCTAGTGGTTCATCAAGCACGGCTTTGGTTTGAGCAAGCTTTTGCTCCCAGAGCGAACGCAGTTCCACAAGAACCTGCTCGTCGATACCTTCATCGAGGAAGATATCACGGGTGCGTGAAATCACATCGTCAATGACACTTTTGTACAGCTTGTTCACAACACCGCTATGTACTTGCGCCATCGATTTTCAAATGATGATCACAACTCAAGGATTCGCGGACGGTTATAACCATGAAATAATCGGTTTTCCTGGATCAGAACGGACGAAAAGGAACGCAATAAAATTAAAGAAATATTCACCGTGATCTAAAATTCAACAAGCCAACGCATAACACGAAGGGCAAAATAGTATTTATTAAACCTTCGGTGGTTTCTTGTTCTGGTCGTACCGTCCAGCATGACTTCGATGGCGCTTCGGGCGTTTAGCCATGATACTCTTGAGGTATAATAAGTAATGTATCTAGTATCATCTACAGCACTTTTTAATCGATTCGACACTTTAGACCTGTTCGGAAACACCTCTTTAAAAGTTTAAAACATCAACAGCATTTTGAAAACAGCTAGAGTCGGATACATCGTAAGATAATCCCAGGCTATCACTATACACAATTAAAATGCTTCTCGAGCACAATTTCGACACAGGGCGCATGATCATGCGTGGAGATTAAAAATTTAGCACGGAAAATGAGGTATCAACTTAATATAAAAAATGGTTGGGTTCCGATCATTGTCAATCCTTAGATTTCAAACATGTTTCAAATCCTTCGACACACTTCCGTTGAAACCACAATTCCAGGTAGTTGAGGGCTATAACTTGCGGTAGGCTATTAGCACGAGGAAGTCAGTTTCCGGACAATCCGCGTCGTTTTTAACTTCTGCGTTGGGAAGTTCAACAGTTCTCCTGATCATTCACGGGATCTTTGTTTTGCTTAAATTCCTTTCCAACTCCTAGATGTCACTAAAATACGACGCACACTGTTAACATGCCGTACAGGATCTCGTATATTAATGTACAGTACAGTACTGTATGTGCATTAAGTATGCGCACTTCATATTACTGTACATCCTAGAACCTAGAATAAAACTTGAGAATTCCAGTAATCCCTGCTTTGCAAAATCATGACGAAATTCTCACCAACAAGTATTTTGCATCATCCATCACCTTTTTCTGACTTTCCGTTATCAATTATAAATTGCCATGCACTATACTCTCCCCCTTATGATAAAAAATGAGTCATGAACCTCCGCATGAATAATTGAAAAGAAACTTTCATTTATTGCTTCATCAATAAATAATTCTTTCACTCAAAATTTAACGCAGAGTTATAATGTCAAATCAGGAGCAAGTAATTCAGTGTATAGTTGACCTCAGGTCATCTCTCAGGCTCTCTTCAGTTGGCTGACATCAGCTTTCCTCTGCAATATATAAACGCTGAAGTCATTTCTGCACTTAAATTTATAATTCAATAACTTATTATACCTCTGCAGTTTCAGTCTTGATTTTCTCTGACAGAGTGACTCTGACAATCTGGAGTGCCTCAGCCAATTTCTTCATGGCATTTCGATCATCCTGCACATCTTTGCGCAATGAGGCCTGTTCACACATAAAAAATGTTGCAATAATTCTTGAAAAGTCGGAGACTATAATGCTATCAAAGAATATTTAGGATCAAAAATATATAAAGGGATACTTAGGTTAAGTAATGACAGTTTGGGTTGGGACTGAAGGAAACCAAAATTAAATGGCTCTACAGTAATATAGATTACCAATGTGGTTCCAGTGGCTTCTGTTTCACTTCCAACAATGGCCGCAAGCTGAGATTTGACGCTTGTAATTTCATTCTTCCTCTGTTGGCGTTCTTCTTCAATTTTCTTTCTCAGCTCTTTGTCTACAGCATCTTCATCCAAGCCTCCTTTACCCTTCCCTGTCTATAAAAGGAAAAACATTAGTCAAAATAAAATCAAGTGGATAACATCATTAGAACACCAGATTAAGTTTAACAAACCTTGAGATCACCCTCCACATCATCTAATCGTCTCTTTAGTTCCTGGTGCTTGAATTCCAGTTTGTCAATCCTTGTTAGGTGGTCTGAGCTCAGACCAATAGTAGGTTCTGAGTCACTGTTCCTTGGCTTTTCAAGCTGACAAAGAATAATACAGTATTATTAAATTGAAATACATGAATTATTGAAATGTCCAAGTTGTGGCCTATATCCTAAGGGTTTCCCAACCCAAGGTCTGCAGAAGTTTTTTTTTACCAGTGTGCAGGTAATTTTATCCAGCATGATGAATTAAAAAAAAAGTAGTTATCAAGTCTGTTATCTATACAGTATCTGAAATTTAGGAAAAACAATAGCAATTGAAATTACCCAAAGAAAACTAAAAATTGTATTTAAAAAAAACACTTCAGGTCAATTTTAAAATGCTGAAATGAATAATTTTATTTTTTCCATTTTGAGAAACTTTTTTGGAAGCACACCTTTCCGAATTTTTTGAAGACATTCCACTTAACCGCTCCAGTGTTTCTTGAATTAATTTTGGAAAAAAAAGCAGCAACTTTTTAAATGACAGCCATTAGGTCTTTCAAATATTTTTCTTTTAATCTGCAAAAACTTTATGATACTTTGCTGGTCCTCAGAATTGCTTTCGAGAATTCGCAGGTTAGCAGGCCCAAAAAAGTTGGGAACACTGGCTTATAATGTACAGTACTGTACCATCATTTTGTGTCTGTCCAGAGTTTCCTGGTGGTGCTTGACTTTCACATCCAGAGTGGAAATCTGGTCCTTCATGTCGGCCATCTGCCTTGTGGTCTCTTCTCTGATACGGAGTTGTCTAAAGAACACGTACAGTACGTATAATCTCTCGACTCTAGGACGTCGAAGGAGGTCCAGAGACAAGACGACTCGTAATTCAAAGTGTGGAGGACGAGGTTAACGACGAACCTCTCGAGGTAAGCCCTGTCTCATTCTGTCATTCATGTCTTCCACCTTGGCATCTGTTATCTGTTACACAGCTCAAACAATGATCAATCATGCAAATTACAGACAAAATGGTGGTTTTTTACCTGAGCAAACTTTTGCCTTTCTTGAGACTCCTCAGCTATGGATTTCTCCAGGTCTTGTCTGGTCTCCTCCAAATCTTCTTCCAGGCCATCTTGTCTGTCAGACAGTTCCTTGAATTTCACCAGGGTCTTTGTGCTCTCTTCCTATATATATGAACAAAATTGAATATTGGATGACGTTTTAGGAAAAAATATTCTTTGGGGATAAATTTATAGTTGATATTTCTTAATTGAAATGAAGATGGACTCTGGAGTTGTACAGACGCGTCAGGTGACTACAAAAGAAGTGATAATCGTGGACGACGTCGGTTCGCGAACAACTAAAGGAGAAAGTACGCGAATAGAAGTAGTCGAAACCGACACGATTAGGAGTCCAACTTTCCCTTGACTTCATCCAAATGCGACATCTCTTCTCGAAGCTTTGCATCTCTATGATGGGTCAAAAAAGGGAAAATAAGAAGCCATCTGGATACTTTATGAGGTACTTGTGTCATTTAAACTCAGTAAAATATGCTCCATTTTACTATAATTTCGAGAAAGTGAGATAAATTGCAAAAACCTGGCATCAATGAGCCTTCGCAGCTCTTGGTTAACAGCAGAGATCTGCATGACGATACGCTGTTTGTCCACATCTCCCATGTTGTAAGTTTCCTTGAGTAGCATTTCCATGCGTTGGTTCTGTTGTTCCCTCATCCTCTTGGTAGCACTGACTTCATTAATAAGCTGCTGCCATCTGAAGTTGAATATTTTAAATAACCCATTGTGTCCATTTTGTATCACATGAGAGGTTCGCACGATTTACCTTTGATTATTTTGATTCTCCATCATTTCCCTTGCATTCTTCTCCATCTGGATCTTGTTGTCCAGGTCCAGAATGAACTGGTTCAGTTGCATGAGTCTGCAAGTGTTATAAAAGCAAAAGCATAAACATTTGTTATGCATTTTCAAAATGGAAAATTTTCAGCAGTTCAAAAATCTTTTGGCAATTCAAGTTATTTTTTAGCAAGAAAGTTGATCTCAAGAAATTCCACACAACTCATCAGTGCATGTGACTGCTGTTACTCTGAATATTTAGTCTTATACAGTAGTTAAGTTAGGGTTGACTATAAGGGAAAACTTTTTAAATTACCTCCAGTCATAAATACTGTATATAGGTACAATGCATAATACAATTTAAAATCATAAGAGCCCAGGAGTTTTATTGGAACATTTAGATCATTCACTTAGGTATGCTTAGTATATTACAGTAATTGCGATTGAGAATAGTAAGAAAACTCACTTGGAGTCATTCATTGGATTGCTGGCAGCATTTGGAGTAAGTGCCCCTGAATCCCTCTTCAGCATCTGAAAATTTAAAATAAAATGAATATTGACAGCAGGAATGAAGACAAGAATTAATCAGCAGTAATGAAGGAGACACTTACTGGATTAACACCAAGCAGAGTTCCTTTGAGCTGAGCAATTTCAGCATTGGATGAAGCTATTTGATGGGCATACTGCTGAGTCTCATCCCTCAGACTCAGCATGAGCCTCTCCAACTGCTCTCTTGCTCTATTACACGAGTCAATCTCCATTTTCAGCTCATTCATTCTGCAAAAATTATGAGCATAAATTGATTGATGTTTTTTGTTTGCATTATCATAGTCAATTATTGATCCTTCAGAATTTAGATAAAATCAATTATTTGAGTAGTATTAAAAAATAAATGTTTTATACTTTGCTGAGTACTTCAAGACAACAATAGTAAGTTGAACATTTGGTTTGCATGCCTATGTGAAATACCATATGCACTCAAGCACCACAAGCCCTCAGTAAGACACACACCAAGGTTTTTCAGCAGTAAATTTTGATAAAATTATACCTCTAAATCAGACAGGCATCCAATCTTAGGTGATTTTAAAACCACAATATTTCAAAAACAAGAACACCCAAATTTGAAATTGAACATAATTGAAACTGAACTCAATCAATCATCAATTTTTTTCCATCAGAATCGAACACAGTATACTGAAATGATCACAAAAACTTATAAACTTCTAAAACAAAATGTATCCCTGCCCCTGCCTGTATGAATGCATCCCTCCATTTTCCTCTCGAATTTGAGTGAAAAGGTGCTCGTGGTACTTGAGTACATATGGTATTACAGTAGCAGGACTTTTTCATTGAAAGAAAATTCCCCTAAAGAGTTTATACTGTATTCTCTTTTTCTCAGTCAATAACAAAATAAAAAAGTGCTATCATTTCATAGCTTATTCCTGATTTTGTAATCAGAAGTTGAGACTAGGAACAAAAAAATACTCCAACAGACCAGCATATTACAGTATTACATTCATCATCCAGCATTGAAAGTACAATCCAGCAGTGCAGTATTCATAACAGATAGTACAGAAAAAAATGATTTTTTCAATCACAGCATGGTGTTTTGTGTTCCAGCAAAAAAGGATTGTTTACCTCTGTATTTGCTGGTCTCTCCTGGTCAACATGTCCTGCTGCCCAGTGGTCACGACCTTCTCAATGTTGCGGGTATGGCCCAAGAGCTGGCCAATGGCATCTGAGCTTTGGCGGGCCAGGGCTTCTGCCCTGCCCACCCTGGAATCAAGGTCTGCTGCCTGCACCTGCACCTGTCTAAGCAGGGCCTCTGCGCGCTGTCTGCTGCTCTGGAGGAGGACGTTAGGTGAAAGACAGAAGGACCTTGGGTTGACTACTTGTGTTAGTTCTTTAGTTATGTTAAATTTTATGTTAAAAAAATTATGTAGTCGTTCACGAAAGTACTTGTCTATCTACGTTCTGTCACATGACGGGTTCAGAAATTGTATATTATTTTCAATAAAAAAGGAATATTTTCAAAATGTGAGATCAACAACGGATCTTGAAACAACCCACTTTAAATGTAGTAAAAACGTATAAGCAATACATTTCAATCAATCAACGTTTAGCTCAGTAATCGACAATTTTTTGAGTGATGAATAATCAAGATTGTGGATTATAGGAAACATAATTCCTATAAAAAATGTTGCACATTTGCCCAAAGTACTTCAAACAACACAACGGAGTCACAGAGCTGCATTAGATAACCTTTCGAAAAACCCCAACATGGCTAATTTAACTTTTTCGTAACTCTGAAAAAATGTAAGAAATAATCAGTGATGTGCACACTTTTCATAAAATAACATTGAAATTTTAAACACAAATACTGTATGTGAGAGAGGAACTTCGAAAATGTGCCAATAATGTTTATGAAATCTTTCCTACTCTGATCAAAATGGAGAGTTGAAATTTGGCACAAACTATAATCACATGAGCAATTGAATGCATAAAATGTCTCACTCTGACTTCTTGCTGCAGCTTCATCACCTCCTCTTTCATGGACCTGTTGGTCTGTTCTGCAGAGCTGAGTCTTTGCTCCAAAACTGCCAGTCTTCCGACTGAAAATAAATCCCACCCATATATATACACAAACATTTCAGGCCAGTTGTTATTTTTAAACAGGAAACACAAGAATTAATTTTGGAAACATGAACACTAATGCACATAAAAATGTTTCTCATGTAATCAGGAAAAGAATGAATAAACTGCTGGGTTATGAGATTTACCAGGATCACCACCATAGGCTCCAATAGGAGGGATTGGGGATCTTGAGTAAGCCATAGGAACATTCCTGTTACTGGCTTCAGTTTGCCACATAATATGAAAAAAACTGTCCCTGAAGATTCCCTCTGTCTCATGGGCAACTGGCCCAGGCTAAACTGATGAGCAGGTCAGGACATCATATGTGTGCATGTGTGCGTGTGTGTGTATGCACTGTATGTATGTAAGAGGGATACAATAAGTTTCCCTGTGTTGTGATGTCTTGGTAACCAACCATCATATTCCAATAGTTCCTGTGCTTTTTCAGAGGCATATATGAATGCGTGCATATGGGACAATGGGCTGTATGTGCAGTGTAGTTAGTTGGGCATTGATTTTTTTTCCTGGTTGCCTTTGGTTGCACACAGGGTCACTGTGCTCCTGAATCAGGTCAATGTTGCACCTAATGCTCCATAACGAAGGTCACTTCCAAATTAAATCGCGTTATTATATACTAGAACATTTGACAAAATTTTAATCAAAAAATATATTCAAACAGGTGAGTACCGTATTTAAAATTAAGGTGATTGCTGAATTCATAACTCAGGTGAGTACTGAATTTATAATACAGTAGTTCGAATGAATACGCCCACAAAAAAAAAAAACAACAAAGAGCAAATGTTTAGATCAAAGAGTGCATTCATACATGGCACTCACGATCAATGTTAGGTCCAGCAGGAGCAGGCACTGATGGCATGGGTGCTGCAGGTCTGATGGCAGGCACCACTGCAGCAGGGGTTGGCATCTGTGTAGCATGGGTAGGAGGCAGCCCTGGGAGACCATGGGAGTTGCCGTGCAACAGGGCTCCTCTCCTCACAGACCTGCATAAAAAAAAACTCACTAGTTTATCCCAAATTTAATAAAAGCAACTCCTTCTCAACTCCCATGCATCAGGAGGTTTATACAAAACAAAGTACATGTCAAACATTTCAAATTGGACCTCCATAATAGAAAAAAGCTTCCCAACTCAAATTTTTCAATAAATCCAAGGACAATCCCCTCAAGAACAAAGCACTTTATACACTCCTCAAATCAACATGTGTCAGCTCCAGTACCTCTCTCAGCCAAGTTTTCCAGTGCACTTGTTCTATACAAACCCCAGAACACCTGATCCAGAAGACCTGGATTTTTATTTTGAGGGCTTTCCACAATAAATTTAGCAACTTTTTAGAGGTAGGACAACTAATAATGATAGATTGTTACAATAATTATGCTGAAAAAATAAGTTTAATTGATTGACCTACACAGATCAGGGCATATACAGTATGTTCCTCAACTCAAAAACTCTCAAAGTTGAATTTCTGGAGTCCCTTCAAATTTGACTTGAAGAATTTCAACCCTACAGTCTTCCAAACACGGATCAAGTCTGCACTTTCATAAATTTGGAAATTTTCAAGACACAACTGTATGAAGGATTCTTTTGTGAGTAGTCTTTTTCCCTCACATGTGCGTGGTAATAATTTCAATTATTATTTTTTTCATAGGGATTCTCACGTGATTTTCCACGCTAAATGAATTTTAGACCACGGAATACATGCTCAAATATTGTACGGTATTTAAGCGAATATAAGCACCCCTTTTCTCCAATTTGGATACTCAAAAAATAGGGGGGTACGCAGATTCGCATTTTTTGAACAATTATCGTCTTTATCAGAAAATTGTCCTATTTGCAACCCACAAAACAATCAATCTTTTTTCTAATTTTACAAATTGAGCTCCTATAGAAATTCAGAAGACAAGGAAAGTAAGTGGGTGCTTATTTTAGCCTATCGAGGGATTTTTAAATTTTGTGCACGAAAAATCCAGGGGTATGGTTATATTCGCGTAAATATTACTTAACAAGAATCACAATTTTGAAAAAATGAAAATAAGCAGCAGAACTCACATGCCCGGGATGGGAGGTACAACAGAAAACCCCAACTTAGCCACAGTTGAAATTCATGACGCACTTCAAAACTCAATTCGCATCGAGCTACATAATAATAATAATTCCACGCCGCAACTCATCCAGTTATTTCGTGACGAAGGAAGCCTTACAGCGTGTTGGAATGTCGTAAGAACCCGGTGAGGGCCTAAAATTCCTCCCGCCCCTAGACTTCTTATTTTGGCTACCTTTCTCTCCACTTTTATGCCATTTTGGTTTGTAAGTGCGAGTAATGGTGAGTGGTAGTCGTTCCACACGACCCAAACCGATACAAGGAAACATTGGTTCCAACGCTGTAACCAAAGGTATCGACACCTCTCTTGGATATGCCCTTTGGGTTACATGGGAGGGACCTTATTTTTTCGCGCAGATCAATACTGCATGTTATATAGGTTTTAATCTAGAAACATCAGCAAAAAAAAATGTTTCTTTCCAGGTTTCCTGAAAAAGAAAGGAACAGACTTGAACCAATGCCATTTGGTTTAATGTGGGAATTCTGAAACGATTTCGTTATTTCAGCGTTCACACTCACGCAGTATAGAACCTATACGAGCAAGGAAATTCATAAAAAAACATTTGTCACTTTTTTAGGAAAAAAATTAGAATTATGCGGCAATGCAGAAATTCTGTAGCACTGCTGCCCAACTCCAATGTGAGAGTTCTTGTGGGCCACAATAAAGAATAATTTTCGACAGATGCTTAAAAGGCGAAAATTTAAATTGTAAAGTTTTAACTAAGTCACGATGGGTAACTTTGTGCTTGTAACTTAAAATCTTAAAGACTTCCTACCTCGTTGTAAAAGTTAAAGATTTTAAGGAGAATCAATATGGTTTATACTTAGAATTCTGGTGGCTGCCACATTGAAAAATTACACAAAAGGGACCAAGGGACAGATGAAGAGTTTCTGAGGGCCAGATCTGGCCCGTGCAGCAGTGATCTCTGTAGTGAGAACACTTCGTAGGCAGACTTTAGCATTTTAAGATTAACGTAGTGATTCAAAGCAATAATTCAGATCTTGAACAAAGCCAGGATGGGTTTGCATTAAAATTTTTCCGAGAGATACTGTATTTTCTCAATTACCGTATTACGCACATTTTTCGGCGTTAAAAGATTTTTTCGGCCTACACAAGAACTTCACTTTCGCAGAGGACAAAAGTTTCACACAGTCGAATCAGAGATTCATTCGACGGAATTCACTTCCTCACACCACGAATTTTCGTCTTGAAAAAAAAAAAAATGCATCGCACCTGTGTGAAGCTGTCAATCGAAAAATCACTCAAGTGAAAATCAAAACTAAATGAGAACAACAGCGAAACAATTTCAAAACTCGAAACCTTTTAATACAATTCCGTAACGAAAAAAAAAGTGAGCGACACAAGAGTATAAAACTGACGGTAATTCAGAATTCACACTTACACACCACCCCGCTCGGTTCAACAGCTCACTTACTAAAGAGCTCAATCAAGTCATCAATCGTGAGTTTATTATTTTGCGCCACGCGACGGGCACCGGACAAAATCGAGTCAGCCATGGACAACTTCTTTTCTTGCACCATCCGAATTTTCTGCTCAATAGTTCCCTCACACAGAAACCTATGAATAAACACGGGCTTCTTTTGTCCAACCCTGTAAATTCGGTCGCAAGCTTGAGCTTCCAGCTGCGGGTTCCAATGAATATCCACGAGGAACAAGTGATTCCCGCCAATCAAGTTGAGCCCGACTCCTCCTGCAGCCAAGCTCAGCAACAAGACCTGAGAATCAGTAATATATTAAATTAGGTTGACTCGAGAAAATAACGCGAATCAAGTGCCACAAAATAAAACTCACCCTGACTTTCGATGAAACATCATTGAATTTCTCTACAATCTGGATTCTGTCGGGCACGGGGACGTTTCCAGTGAGTCTGGCAGCCTTGATACCGTTCCTATTCAAATGTTTATCCACGATATCCAGCATAGATGTCCATTGGGACACAACGACCACTTTGTCAGTCTCTGGCACTGCTTTCAACGCCTCCAGCAAAGCATCAACCTGAAAAATATATCAAATTACAGCACGTAGGCTCCAAATTTTCCAAAAAGTACGGCATCTATCATTAATTTTTTGGCAACCTCGGCAAATTGACGGAACAAACTTATTCATGCTGATTTAAATGCAAACGAAATTATACTGTAGTATACATAGACTCTCTTCACAACGATTTCCTCTGTATGAAGAATTTTTAAAAAGAATTTATCTACACAAAAATTCTCAAAGAATTTTTTCTGGTCCTTGAATTTCGTTTGAGATTTCACCGGCACAATTAAGGGTTAAAAATGGTATTAAATGGCTTCTCCAACATGTATTTTCATGAGAATACCTCCACAGGACGAACAAAAGCATTTACATAATTTTTAGAGCTCATTGCACAAAACAGAAAACAAAACACAGAAAGAAAAATGCAGCATTTCTGGCGAAAAGCCCTCGATACGTCCCCACTTCCTATTCATGCCCCTTTTTCTCTGTTGCTTCATACGCCGTAAAAATTCGGTCGTTCTCATTTTAGATTAATCAGCAATAATTCCCTACTCGACACTTCGGAATCATTTAGTCAGTCAATGTACCATCAGCAGGTTTCTTCAAAAGTTTTCAAAGCTGGTGAAAAATGATTGAACCTTGGAGCTTTTAGAAGTGGCAAGAAACAAGGGATTGTCTCTGCAGAAGAAACGTTTCGACTCCTCCTCAGCATCGTCAATAATAGAGAGCCGCTTCAGACCAGACATTTGGTGAAAAAATGATTGAACCTTGGAGCTTTTAGAAGTGGCAAGAAACAAGGGATTGTCTCTGCAGAAGAAACGTTTCGACTCCTCCTCAGCATCGTCAATAATAGAGAGCCGCTTCAGACCAGACATAAGTTCATCCACTGTACCGGCATCTGATTCCTTCTCCTCAGGTTCAGCTTCTCCATCATTCAGAATCTTAAAAAAAAAAAAGGATAAGTGTTACAAATGCATCTTCATACAAAAATTCGATCATTATACACATTTTGAGGCAAAAAATTAACTTACAGTCCAGAGAAGATGCGGGTGACAGCAAATCTGTCTCAAGCGCAGCAACAACACTAAAATAGCCGTCACGCTGACATTGTTGGACTTTCCTGGAAGTTTAGGACCAGAGATGCCTCCAAAAGTATCTTTCTTCGCAGGAGTATTTCCGAGTTTCTGAACTAATCTTTCTCCATCTTCACGCTGCTCAAGCAGAGCCGTCAAGGCTGAACGCGAAAAATCCATTACCCAGTCGTGTACCTTGTGAAGAAAGAAAGAGATCATTCATATTTTACGAGTGCAGCACTGCATTTAAATCTTCTTATAAATGCTGCAATTTTACGGATTTTAATGTTCACAGTTCACGCTGAAAATTATTTCAACATTTCAAAATTACGGGAAAAAAAAAAACTTCCGAATTTCCGGCAACTTGGAATAACCCAACTTCACCGTCCTCAGTTCAGATTTTTTTTTCAAGGTCAAGGAAACAATTTATCATAGCTCAAGCTTAAAATTAAGAGGTGAATAAAAAAAGTAAAAATTTACTTTCTGTTCAGCAGCAGAAAGCGTCAAGTTGTGGACCTCCTCAGTTCTCTTCGGAAGATTCACCAGAGTCTCTCCAGTGATCGCATCAGTTTGATCCTTTGTTCTCCGCAAAAGAATCGCTTTCACAACCAGGTTCAGTCGCTTTTGCCCAGCCTGAGATTTGTTGTCCACGAACCGTTTCCAAACCTAGTCCAAAACCATCTCGATAACTCAATTCTAACCACTTGAAAGACAAAAAAAAATGCAATGATGGCTCACCTCCCGCTCATCAAACGGACTGAACCTCATGAACTTGAGCAAAGAAAACAGGTCCAGTTCTTTGTTTTGAATGGGTGTTCCTGTGACACACCATCTCCTGCCTGCTCGCAGTTGGCAAACAGCTTGGGCTGTTTTTGAAGCAGGATTTCGAATGTTGTGGGCCTCGTCCAGTATGACTCTGTGCCATCCGATCCTCAACAAAGGACTGGTCTACACATTGTAGAATTAAAGACACATTATTATTTAAAATTGCCTCTACTTTATTCTCTTGGAATCTTTCCAAATACACAAGACTTTTCAATTGGATTTAGTAATTTCGTTCTACATATTTACCAGAGATCGTCCGACTCAAGAAACATACTGTACCAAATAATCTGTATTACAAGACTGGACTAGCAAAAAATAACGAATGTTATCAGTCCTCAGAGAAATAAGATACAGCTTATCCCAGACAACTTCACAAATATTCCGAACAACAGTTATAACTTTCGAAGAAAGGAGAAAAACACTCGAAAGCATTTTCTAAAAATATCCAAAGATTTCAAGTCACGACCAGTATGACAAATTTCTGCAAACATATCCTGAACGAAGTTAGTTGATCAGTAAACGCCTTTTGAAATTATAAACACAGTACATTAAACATACAAAATATAACTGCCTCGTTTCCTGATTCAAATAAACAGTTGTATTTCACAACGCATTTCCGCTGAAACTCACCCCTTGATTGGTGTTCCTAGGATAGACATCATTCAACACCAAATTGTAAGTTGTTATGACGAAATCATTGTCAGCAATCCTAGAAAAAAATAATTACACCATCAGAAAAAAATTCCACGAGAGAATGTGAACTTTTCATTACCTTCTTGCAGATGTTTCCCTGGAAGCCCCGTGGTAAAGCTGAACCATGGGTCCTCCCCTGACTCTGGATTTGATCTCTTTTTCCCATTGACCCATACAACTGGCAGGGCAAATTATCAAGGTAGCTTCGGATTTCACGAGTTTCTTCTTGGCCACTGCTCGGAAAACTTTTCAATTATCACTCAGCTTCATCAAATATCACAGATTTCATGTCAATAATTTACAATATTTTTTTTCTCCACAAAGACTAAATGGAACAGGTTGAATACATCTAGAGGTCGATAACGAGGACTTGCGATATTTGTTGTCATTCTCATAAATTAAGGAATAATTTTGTCCTTATGATATTTTGCCTTTCTGCTGCTTCGTCAATTTTTTTTTGGTAAAAAAAAAATCCCAGAACACTAGGCGTTAACCTCGTTTACTCTCAACAATACGCATCAATTTTAATTGGTTGAACTATAGAACCCCTGAAAAAGGTTGTAACCTACTGGAAATTCGAAGTTCAATCAAAAACTAGTCTGCCTCAAGATACTTCGCATATAAATTTTGCAGTTCATATAAATGGCTCACATGAATCTGGCTGCAGCCAATCATTTGAAGCAGCTCCTTCTTCCTCCTTCACTTGTCTCCTCAGCTCTTGTGATTTTATGGCAACAGCGATCATGGTCAGCGTTTTCCCAAGTCCCATGTCATCGGCTAATGGACAAAAACAAAAATATGCATTTTCAAACCAGCTGTACTGTACACAGCCAAAAAAGATCGATCAACTCACCAAGAATGCCACCAGGAGGATTCTGGGTCTCCCTCCACATGGCCCAAGTTACGGCATATCTCTGATGGGGCATCAGTGGAACTCGAATTCTTCTCGGGTCTTCAAAATCCGCAGCTTTCTCAGCAGGCATAGATTTCAGCGACTCGTGCAACCCATGCAATGATTCGTGCGTCACTGTTCTTGCCTCCAAATGTCTCGCTTTCGAGTTGGAGTTTTGAAAAAATCATCAAATTTTCGGAAGAGTTCGCTAAAGCTATTTCCAACGATTCCTCGGAAACATTCTCAATTTCCACCATTTCCATGTTGACTATCCAAAGAAAACCGATCAAAATGACCTCATCTTAAAAAGAATTCTCCAAATCCAACACTTGGAGACTCACCAATTCACAAAAACATACGGTAATCTTCACAACTAACGAATCGGAAAAACTGCCATAACTGAATTCATCTTACATCAACCTAACCCTAATCTCTCTTTTAAGGTACAGTACTGCCATGCCTCAGAGACCTTATTGAATAACGATTCACAAATTCACTAGAAGTACCTTCATTCATGCGCCCTCCGAAAAGCTTGTTCTTGGCTGGATCAGCCGCAAACATGTGCTCCATGACTTGACGTTGCTGTGGTTTGGCGAGACCGACTTGCGAAGTGAGCAAGGCTTTAAGATCCATCGCTGGGGGTCGAGTAAATCCCCCGTGGTTTGGTCTTGGTTCAATTGGACCCGTCAGGAAAGATTCCGGTTGATCATAGCCCTTCAGCTGTTTCAAACGCTCTCGCCTTTCCACTGTGTATACAAATAAAATTGAATTATATTAAATTATTTCCTCAAGCATGAATGGAAAAGAGAAGTTACAAAATTACCTCATCTTCGGGTTATTAATACAATACTTCCTCATTCATTGTTAAATTCATGCAATTACCACTAAAAATCCATGCATAAAAGATTGAAAAATTGGGGAAATTTCCGACGAAATTCGATGCAGAATAAATAAACCCCGAAACAGAGAAAACATTCTTCCTGGACCAATCCGAAGATTAATAGACCATTTCTTTTTCATACAGGCATTTGAAAATTTCGGGCTGTTAAGGTGAATTTTGACAAAATGACAGCTCACTCTTTATAATTTCCTCGTTATATTAATTCAACTGACCTGCGAGATATTCTTCTGCAGCAACACGTTCACGATCCATGCTGGCGATTTGGTCCAGTAATTTTTTGCCTTTGTCAGGAAGAGTGTTCCTCATCTGGGTCAAAAGCAATTCCTTGTTCTTGATTGATGCCTTCAAACGATCAACATCCGCTTGCGTGGGAGGATCACGATTTGTTGAAAGTTCGACCAGAGGTTTCCTGGACGCCTCAGATAAGACGAGGAAACCTAAAAGAACTCTTTGACGTATATTGTGTCCTTAATTGAAGATGTCTTTTGTATTACTTTTTAGCAGGTTACGCTTCGTACTTACAGAGTGTAAAAGTTAATTTATGTAGTAGTATTTGGGTGCAGACCACCGTAAAAGTGCAACCACATTGAAGATACTTACCTCCGGAATTGACGATTTCAGGGCTTCCCGCATCTTTGCTCACTTCCTTTCTGGAATACTCCGCACTTCTATTTGGATTGCTAGGTGCGTCAGGAACATCAGCCTCATCTATCAAATTTTAGAAAATTAGCATATTTCTTGAAACTGGGAACAAACTAAAGCGGAGTATCCACTTGAAAGACGATCTCGCTTCTGAATCTGAATTAACAAATCAATCTAGGAGGACAGATGAGTTACAATCAACTGATCATAAGTCACCTCCGCGAATTACATCGTCTTCGTCTCCACTGGTCTGTGATTCTTCGCTCTCTTCCTTCCCAGAATGTTCCGCACGTTCGTCATCATCGCCATGCCCTTCGTTACCATCAGACTCATCTATTAAATAAATTAGGTCTCCATCATTATACTTCAAAAATCGAACAGCACTTTCAATTTGAAGCACAGCCTATAGCTTCAGCACTGTGTTCACAGAAGTGCTTTCAGAAACACTTTTAAATCGATTGTCATACAGTTCTCACCGTCCGGAATTTCTGCTCCTTTGGATTTTCTTGAGAAACTGCATATAACACAGGAATTAACTTCTACAGAAAACATAATGAAAAATCGTCCAATGCGAAGCATGAATGTCTCACATTTTCAATTAAATACATCATCATTTGGGTGCAGACCACCGTAAAAGTGCAACCAAATTGAAGATACTTACCTCTGGAATTGACGATTTCAGGGCTTCCCGCATCTTTGCTCACTTCCTTTCTGGAATACTCCGCACTTCTATTTGGATTACTAGGTGCGTCAGGAACATCAGCCTCATCTATCAAATTTTAAAAAATTAGCATATTTCTTGAAACTGGGAACAAACTAAAGCGGTGTATCCACTTGAAAGACGATCTCGCTTCTGAATCTGAATTAACAAATCAGTCTAGGAGGAAAAATGAGTTACAATCAACTGATCATAAGTCACCTCCGCGAATTACATCGTCTTCGTCTCCACTGGTCTGTGAATCTTCGCTCTCTTCCTTCCCAGAATGTTCCGCACGTTCGTCATCATCGCCATGCCCTTCGTTACCATCAGACTCATCTATTAAATAAATTAGGTCTCCATTTAATATGAAGTTTTTAGCTTGTCGTGAAAGTTAAACTTCGTGTCGGATATCGAAGTCGTGACACAAGTGTCTTCACGAAAGTCTTTGTGAAAATTTAGCTAACAGTATGTCAAGAGTGGCAGGCCTTTGACATCGCATTCGCCTTTACTACTTCGCGAATCATCCCTCTCTTCTTCTGTATGTTCTGCTTCTTCATCAATTATATGAGAGTCATCGACGTCAGACTTTCCTGTCGCTGTCATTTGTGCAGAATCTCTTTCACTGTTTTCGTCTTCGTCGGAAGAATCCAGTTCGATACACGGTACCCGTCGACGTCGGCGTGAGAATTCGATTATCGAAGAATCGTCAAGCACATTAACTTCGTCAGCTGAAACGCTGTCATCTTCAGATTCGGGAATAGTAGATTCGCTCAAAAGAACCGAGCCGTCCACGGAGGCTGACTCCTTATATGTTTTCAAAGAAAAAAAAAAAAGGAGTCGAATCACAATCTCTTCCGGTGGCTTTTACTATTGAACACTCGATACTTACCGGAATGGAACCAGAATCCTCAAAGAGATCAGTAGAAGAAGTGCACAACACGGAAGTATCAATTGAATCAGGAGAATTCATTGCAAGATCGACCTGAGGAAACTGAAACGAGTCTGATGTATTGAACGCTTCATCACTGAAAATACCTACACTGTAACGCGCAAATCTTCCAAATGCAACAAAATTGATTCGACTTAAATTAAGCAAATAATTTCTTCCACGCGTGAAACAATTCGGCGGCTTACCCGCCAGCTTTTTAAATCGGGACCATCCGACTTTCGAATTTTGGGAACGAACCCGCCTGAGTATAGATTGATTCGACTTAAATTAAGCAAATAATTTCTTCCACGCGTGAAACAATTCGGCGGCTTACCCGCCAGCTTTTTAAATCGGGACCATCCGACTTTCGAATTTTGGGAACGAACCCGCCTGAGTACACCGGACATTTCAATGTAAATGTCTAGATGTCGCTTTAATGTACATTACATTTTCGAATGTTTGCATAAATGTCGAGTTTCTAAAAAACTTTAAAAATCTCGCATCTCGGTCAAAAATGAGTATTCGAATTATGCTGCTAGTTTTCAAAGAACCAACTACTTTCAAAAACTTTATTGCATAAAAAATCAACCACTGATTTCTCCTCTGAAATTGGATCCTGAAGTGGCGAGCCTAATTAGAGGATGATCGATTATTTGCCCCATGTTCACTAGTTTATCTTCCATGTATTGAGGCGGTGTAAGTGGAACTATGCTCAAAAGTTAATCACGGAGTCATTCCTGACTAAGTTCGTTCTGAATGAATCGCTGAATTGTTGAATCATTAGCTGGAGTACGAATGCTGGAATCGAAGTACACGGGGCGTAAATATCGCCCGTCGAGTTTTGGTTGCGAAACCCCGATGAAAATCGATGTTAGCTTGAATTCACTTCGGAAGGAATTTGCATTGAGAGTATTCGTCATCGGATTCTTGATCCGCTGTTATTGATAAGACTTTCGGTGTCTGCGTCATGCGATTGTACGATCCATCCGAGTGGAGAGCAGATGTTAGTACGCCGTGTGGCACGCTTCCGTGCGGATGTGCCATTCAGTCCCGTGATGTGGAGAGTAGCTCCAAGTTCTGTGCGTGTGAAGGAAAATGTGGGCAAGTCTTGTGTTGCATTGAGTCTTTTTGTAGAATCTTAATTTTTGGGGTCCGAAATTTAATATTGTGTCGCGTTGTAACTTCTCTTGGTCAGCAAAATTGACGCATAATTCTGATGGAAATAGCCCACTTGGTGTCCAGCCGTATTGGCAGTCTTTCTTTATCTAGTAACTAATCCTGACTGTGACTGGTCAGCGAAATAATTTATTTGAATATATTTTATTCGGCGTAGTAGCTAGAGCCGACGCGTGAAAGATGTTGTATGGGTGTGACGGTTGATTTTGGTTCGACACGCTCTCTATCTTTTATTTCACAGGGAGTTGTGTTTGATTGGATAGAACGTAGAGTGGCTTGCTGAGTTGAGAAAAATATCCCCGTGTACGAATCACCCCTTCCCGGGTGAACCTTTCTGGTTCATTTGTGTTCCTAGAATCCAAGTGTTCCGTGAACCTCAAAAAGATATGGTGGCGAAACGCTGGGTTGCGAACCTCTCCATCTTGCTTCCATGGATTATCGTACTCGTCTTCCTGATCTCCTCAACAAGATCAGAAGTGGCTCCTCTAGAACCTGGTTTGAACGATGTCCCAGTCGTCATTCCTGTACCAGTAAGTTGTGAAATTTTTCCGTGCTGGACTTCTGTGTTATCCGGTATTCCTTCTGTCGGAAGGCATCAAATGGAAATGCGACGAATTCTACAGCTAGTGGGGAAACAGGGAAAGGATTTGTCCATGCGTTTGTGGCAGCATTGAGTATAGTGGTAGTCTCGGAGATAGGAGACAAAACGTTCTTCATTGCGGCAATTATGGCCATGCGACATCCAAGGTCTACGGTGTTCCTTGGAGCCGTATCAGCACTGTTCTTAATGACATCGCTTTCAGGTATTTATTTATTTTTACTTTTGATTTCATTCCCGGGATACAAATACTGTATACTCTTTTATACGAGATAGTTTTTAAAATTTCCGTAGTGCAGGATGGAAATACGAAATATTCAATTGCGATCCGCACAATACTGTATAAGCTCGAATGTTAAAAACGATTGGCATCTTGCTTTCATGGGTTACGTTCAAAGTGGTCGTTTTCATGTCAATCTAAAAATTTTCTCCAATTTAAACTAATTAGGATAGTCTTTGTCACTGTTGTCAGTTTGGTTTTTTTTGCTTCCATGGCCTGATTGAGTTTCTAATACAGTATAATTTTGATCGGTAAACTGAAAATATCGGTAACGATTCCAAAAGCTAATTTCTGAATTTCGGGCGATTGGTTCTTTTTCTTTCAATTGTCGTAGTTTCTGAAATATTTCTAGCAAGATCCACAATACTGTACTTGCTCTTGAAAGTACTGTAGAAGTTCTGTCTGATGTACATAATGTTTGAGTTGATCGTGTCTTACGAAAATCTGTGAATTTTTGGTCAAGTCTGAACGATTTAGTTGTTTTCTTCTTGCGTGAGTGCCTCTATATCTTAAATTCGTTTTGAAAAATGTATCGTTACTTCCGAAAGTTTGAGAATTAAGGTCCGTCAATGGAATATATTTTTCTACCTAAAGGAATTCCATTTTCGTACGAATTTGCCTTCCTTCGCGAGAATTCAACATATGCAAGACTGGAAGAGGCCGCTGATTTGTTTATTGAAACCCCAGTAGTTCTGGGAAGCTCATGAAAAATGCACTCTTTCGTAACAAATACTCGGATGAGCCTCCGATAATTTCTTGGTACAGTACCTCCTGAATCCGTAGGTTGTTCTAATTTTTTTCCATATTGAAATTTTCAGCTGCTTTGGGATATGCTGTACAAGTTATTCCGAAGATATACACTTATTACGTATCCGCGGGCCTGTTTGCAATATTTGGGATCAAGATGTTGATTGAGGGCATAAGAATGAAACCTGACGAGGGACAAGAAGAGCTGGAGGAAGTTCAGTCAGATTTGCGTCGTCGCGAAGAAGAGGTGCTTATTTTTGTTTTTCAGATTCAAAGTTAGTGTCTGAACGTAATGAAATTTCTTTCAACATTTTTTTTATTTTAAAAGGCCGAAAGGTCGCCAGGAAATGCGGAGGCTCCACGACCGGGTTCCTCGGCAAGTCATCGATCATCACGACCGACTCCGAGTGCTTGGAAAGTTTTAGCTAGAGTATTTTTGCAAGCTTTTACAATGACCTTCCTTGCGGAATGGGGTGATCGGTCACAGATCTCAACGATTGTGCTAGCTGCCACAGAGGTAAGTTAACCGTGTACCGTGTAATACAAAAGGTTTCTTTCAGGTTTTCCAGACCTTGAGTTCATGCTTTTGACTCATGATCTCATTTATGATTCCGAAAAGCGGCTTCTTTCGCCTTTAATTTTTAAAGAATCTGCTTACAGGCCTTCTTCGTTAAATTCAAAGAATAATTTGCGTGCCGCAGAATGTGCGTGGTTGTTGAAATTCAATTTTTTTTTCAATGTAGGAATTCTTGTGTGTTTTTCCACGCTGAGTGAGTTGGAGAGCACGAAATGCATGTTCAGATTTATGCAAATATTATTTAAGCACCTCTTTTATACCCGTTTTTTATTCTCAAAAATCAGGGGTGCATATATTCCTGCAATTAGCGTGTCTATCAGGAAATCGTATTTGTGTCACATAGAACTATGGAGCACTTTTTTCAAGTTTTTTTTTCATTGAAGTTGAAAATAATCGGGTCAGCTTTTAGCTCTTCGAGATGCACGGGTCACTGACTGAAGAGAAATAGGGGAAATAGCAAGTGTTGTGTGACACCGTTTTCCCACTTCTGGAGAAAACCTAAATTTGGTCAGAAATTGTAGATTCCTGGGAAGTCGGAGTATCAGGAAAGTAATTGGGTGCCTATATTTGCATTTTTATGGATTTGTAATTTTGTGCAGGTAAAAATCTTGATGGGTTTCTATATTCGCGTAAATATGGTAGATTCTACGTGCTAATTGAGGGCTCGAATATTTTTTTTTCAGAACGTATGGGGCGTTACCTTAGGAGGAACAATTGGGCATTCATTGTGCACGGGTGTAGCAGTTATTGGCGGTCGCATGGTCGCCCAACGGATATCGGTGAAAACTGGTGAGTTTATCTTAATTTTATTGGGTTAAGTTTTTTGTTAAATCTATGGATTATAACTAAAATCAGTACAAAATTTTTTTATAATCTAAGCTGACCTGTGCGATGCTGTTTTTTTTATCCAAGAACCACTTGCCCTCAAGTGAGATGCGCACCCGGATTTTTTGGCCTGAAAATTTTGATGAAATCATATTTTTGAGGAAGACGCACCAGATTTTAAATTTAGGAATGAATTGAGCTTGAAATCAATTAATTTGTAATGGTTTCCATTTGAAATTTATTTTTTAATTGTTCCAAAATTCATCACAAGAATCGAGTATAGCTTGAACTTTGAAAATTGTATGCTTGCATTCCATTTCTCATCCCAATTTTTAGAACAAGTCTGTGTGATACTCAAATAAATGCGTTTATTAATTTTCTCGGTGCCTATTTTTTTTATTTTCTTTTTGTGAAATTACCATGAAAAATCTAAAAATAATTCGCAAAAAACTACGAGGAGAGATTATTGGTGCTATAGCAAATGTTTTTTTTTTTCATCACGGAAGTATTGAATTCAAATTTTCGTCAAATTCAATTTTATCTTCGGAATTTCATCATTCTCGCTATTCGTCTGAAACTCGAACCATGCAATAAGATTTTTTGAATCCTTTAAAATCACTTCAATTTACCTTTCGATTGGACTATGCCGATTCTTAATTTAATTCAATCGGCCTCATTATACTGTAGTTCATTGCATGAGACTTGTTTTGAACTGCTCATTAACTTCCGCTTTATTTTTCCAGTGACGATAATCGGAGCAATTGTGTTCCTGCTCTTCGCCTTATCTTCCCTGTTCATCGGTCCCGACGGATTCTCAGGATTTTGAAAGCCAGGACGAAGCTTGAAACAAAACAAAAAGACGAGAAAAAAAGAAAAGACGCCAAGGTGCAAACCTCGTAATGGAGGCTACTTAGAACAACGCGTTGTTTTGTCCCAATCGTCTGATTTTTCCACTTCCACGCAGTGTTTTCGTTCCGTTTATCTAAAGGTGAGTTCAAAAGCTTGACTGGCGAATGTGAAGTGAAGAAAACCCCGGTTATCTGTCATACGTGGAATTGTTTTAAGATTCTGTTTTTCTAGTATGTCGAACAGACCGTCTGCCATAAAATTTAGTTGTGTTGCGGGTACGTGACTGGAAAGTATGACGAATCAGTTGAAATTCAGTTTCTTGTTGATTGATTTGACTATGAACCGTAGCTGACGGAAAAGAAATCATGAGAAAATTGTTCCTTGATGTCATTAAGCATTTAACTTGTTCTTAGTTAGAAAATGCTCTTCTTTCAGTCACGTACTGGGTCAAATTTCTCATTCAGGTTGGTCAAGTACTGGAACAGAGCTTTTGCATTTGGTCACGTACCAGAGCCACGCCTTTATTTTTTTCCCCTCTCTTATTTTGGTATCATTCCTTTTTTGACGTGGATTAGGACGATTTCTGTTACTAGAAAGAAGTGCAAGATGAAACGTCAGGTGATTTTTAGAATGTGTGTTGTGTGTCTCCGCTGAACAGTGGAATATTCTCTGTGGAAAATTTGAAGATGCTGCTAGGATTGGAGGTGTTGAAAAGACTTCGATGGTTGAAATGTGTCGCGCGGATTTGTTTTTCGTGTCCAAAGAAGGGATATAAAGATCTTTCGGAGTGAGTCTGAAACAGTGCTCATACTTGTGTGTTTTTTTTTCTGTTGCTGTCGAGTAATTTTTACATGACATGACAGAGGAATCCCGATGTTCGGGCAAATGGCCGAGTGCATTTGTCTTGATAAATTAGCGTAGTGATTACATTTTAATTGTTTTTTTCTCACATAATTAGAGCAGAAGAAAGTGTAATTCTTACAGATGGACCTTCACCTGTGAAGTATGGAATTCTCTATCCATGTCACAGGGGTTCTCCACAACAAAATTCTGTCTACAAAAAATGTTTCCTGATCCCTTGAATTTTGTTGTACCGAGTGTTCACATGTACAGTATTATTGAGTTTACTCAAAGTATTTACTGAAGTACTATGTGCCCTTGAGTAAGGTGCAAACCTCATTTTCTTATCCTGAAATTTTGATGAAAATCCATCCTCAAGTGAGATGCACACCTCAGTTTTACATTAAAATCTTGACTTGAATAAGACTCAATTTTATTTATATTTACTATTAGAATATCGAGTCAAACATTCACCTGACCTTTCAAATTTTCGATGAATTCATTTTGTTTTTCACCTGTCTATGACATGCACCCTCTTTTCTCCTTTTAATTCCAAGAAGTGCCTTATGTACTTGTGTAAATATGAAATTCAATACAGTAGTTGGATATTTGGTGAATCATGAAAACAAAATCACGTGACTCTTCTTGAATTAGTGAATAAAGAATGGAATTCTTTTTTTTTGTGGGGGGCGGAAGGAAAATGATCATGAAGTGTTGAATTTTGGCAAAGGGGTTTTCATATTACTTCTTAGGTATAAAAGGGTCTAAAGGCGCAGTCTAAGAAATACAAAAAACTTCACCCATGAAGAAAAGAATCAAAGAACTTGAGGCAATTGAAACCAAGTGACTATAGCAAGCATATGTTGAAAAATCATTTTTTCTTCATAAAAAGTGTACTCAAAACATTATTGATGACTAGACAGTAAGCTTTTGACTGAAGTACTTCGTGTGTTTATTTTTTGAATTTGATGAAACACGTGTGATGCTTGAGTGATTGATGACACTGGATTCATGCACCGAAATGACGTTTCCTGATGCCTGCTGAGAAACTTGTTGAAGACATGTGCACGTCTGTGATGCCGAGTGCTTGTCTTGCATGAAAAGGTGGTGGAGTAAATCACTAAATTGAAATTTTTTTAAATATTCTTGTTTCAATGATTTCAAGTACTGTATATTCCAGGAATTAAGCATTCCCCTAGTAAAAAATAAAATTAAATCAGTAAAGCGTTTTCTTTACTCAATTTGTATTCGATTCTCACCATCATGCATTTAGAGTGAAAACAAGACCCAAAAGAATTGAAATACTGTATTTTCAAAATTATAATTTTTCAATTTGCGCAGGCACACGTAGCTCTTCATGGCAAATTATAAGGGACCAACTGCAAAATTTAACTCAGAGTGATAATTCTGAGTTAATTGAAGAGGTCCAATTTCATTTGCAAAATTGAAAAAATATGCGCGTAAATGTACAGGAATGAACATTTTGTGACAAATATTCTTCTGGCATTTTGGTAGTGTGCAGAACACATCTTGGTTTCTGAGGTACAATTAGAGTTTTGATAAATATTGAAATAGACTTCTCAATCATGTTCTGTGTATAATGCATATACTGTACTGTAATGTATATAAGCAACCAAAAATCTTACCATAAAAAAATACAGGAAAATCTCCTGAAGAAAATCACTGATGCAATCAGGGTTTGTTCTACTTAGGTAAAATTAAACGCTGAACAGAGAAAATGAAGTTTGATTATTCAAGTGTATTGAAAGAAATAAAGTTTTAATCCCAGGAAATTGTTGGTCATGTTGATTATGTATAATTTTCTTCAACCACCGAAGAAGAAACTTTTATTTGTTTTGATGATGCAGTAAAATCTTACTGTGTCAGCATTCCTGATGAGGGATGTAACCACAGGTTTTCTTTACACAGTAATTATTTTAAAAAAATTTGTAGGTGACCTCTTTAATAATGATAGGGATGAAAAAATAACAAAATAAAGTAGCACATGTTACGACCCCATTTTGATATATTTATTCCTCACGGGGTCAACTGAGGATAACCCTTTCCCTTCATGGACGTACTGGTATTTTTCCTCGGTAACGTTACCCTTGATAATTGTAAAGAACGCCTTACATTTTTGCAAGGCCTGCATTATCATTCAGTTTTTGAATTATGCAGGCATGCGAGGATCAGGTTGATTTGTTTAGCATCAAGGCCGACCGATGCGTCTCATATCCAAAATTTTGAAACTCAGTCTGTAAATGGGATTGGGTGACACTGTGAAGCTTGAAAAATGCATGATCACCCAGCATGGCAGGCCTAAGAAAATAATGTATATCTTTTGTGAATGAAATCGGAAGCTATTTCCGAGGGACGCATTCAGTACACTTCAGAAGGTGAAAAAGAAGATGTATGCATGAGAGGAAAATCAAAACAGGAAACTATCAGTAAGGTTGAAATTCTTGAATACAGTATATGGAACCTAAAAGATATCATGGCTGCAATATACAGTATTTACAGTACAATATTGTATTTACTTATTATTATAGTACTGCGGTTCATCAATCTCAATACATGCGGTTTGAATTTTCATTCGTTCAATGCTGGGTATACAAATTTGCAATAGTGTATGAGGCTTCATCAAATTTCTACAAAATTAACAATGTACAGTAATTCAGTTTCCCATGGAAATAAATGATAAGATACTTACATTTTCACTACATTTCTGTTTCCAGGACACAAATCATGATAGCTAAAATGCCTACAGAAAGTTTGAGTTAAGGATTTGTATGCATTCTTCATACGGAAATTCGGACCAGGACAACCAGTTCTCTCGTGATAATACAGAAAGTAAGTAGCTCTTGTATCTTCTACAAAGCTTCAAATTGGCCTACTTCATCTTTAATTTCAGTAATTAGCTCGGTATTTAATTAAGAAATTTCCAATATATCTTCAACACCACGTGAGGATTTTCTTCAAGCCAACTCTAAATCAGTAGAAACAATTACTGAACCTAATTACATGGTACAGAGAACCAGGTGAGAAAAAGAGATGAAAAATCTTTCATTATTTCGAACACTTGGTTATATCGAGACTCAAAGAACATTAGGGCTATACCACTCGGGTCTCCGGAAATGCTTGTTACCAAGATGCACTTTATAAGATATTCTGGGACCAGATTCGACCTGTGATTGGTCGAATTTAGGTCATCAGAGCAGATAAGTGTTCGAAAGGTAAGCGAGTAAAATCATTTTACACTTGGAATTATTTTTTCTTATTTTCTACCGAAACAATACTGAATTCTAGCTCAGCTCGTTCGCAAAAAAATTAACGTTCGAGTGTAAGTGATTATAATGTATGCGAAGCGTGAATCCGAAATGAACAGCAACATCCCCAAGAGATATTTCCGAAGTAACACTTTACTCCCGACGCTTTCAGCACAATTCCTCAAAATTTTGCTCAATCTTCGTCTTCTTCCTCGTCACCGCCGCCGCCGCCTTGACCCTTCTTCAGGTTCTTCCGCTTCACACGACCGGCTCTTCCGCCGCCAAACGGTGACTTCAACGAGAAATCAATGTGCTTCTGCGAATCCAAGCGCACCATGAAAGAAGGCACGTTCACGACCTGCTTTCGAACTCTGATGTGTCGTTGACGAATAAGAACTCGGGCATGATGAAACGACTTGGCCAATCCAAGTTTAAACACCTGCGAGAAATCAATTTCATGAAAAAGCATCGAAATATGCCATATTTTGAAGATAAAAAGGAAGAGGAATATATTTAATGGAGCTGTGGGTCTGCGAACGAATTCCACTGTTTCGAATCAACTGGAATCGAAAATTTTGTCATGAATCGTCAGATCATTCGGACTCATCGTACTTATCCTCGAGGACGATCAACGCAATTCCGAACATTGTTTGTCGCATGAAGCTCCTAATTCAGTACAGCACTAAGATATCAGAAACCACGTTAAAAAAGTTCAGCACTCCTTCCGACACTTTCACTACGTCACAATAGACGAATCCATCTCTTCGTTTAATCAGCTCTGGCAACGTAAAATTCACCTGCGTTTGCAAACGACGCTCTAGGAAATCTTCAATCTTGAGGCCCAAAACGTAATCAAGTTTCATACGTCCTTCGTCCAACACCCCGATTCTCACAAGGCGACGGAGCAACGCATTTCCTTCGAAAAGACGACGTTCGTTCTTCTCGTCCAACGTGAGTAGCTCACGAGCGGCTTTCCGGATCTTGGCCAAGGTGTACCTTACACGCCATACTTCACGCTTGTTACGCAGTCCGTATTCACCGATAAGTTTTAATTCCTGGTCGAGACGCGCTTTTTCGAACGGACGACGCGGCGTCACGTACGTTTTAGAATAGACGGTCTTCACGCGAACCATCTCGACGACCCCTGCAAGAAATATCCATGAATACAGATGCAGGTTGAACCGGAAACCATTACACATGCAGAATGAAGAAAGTAACTGTAGTCAAACCGTCGAATCTTGCGATTCGGATTCCGAAGTAATATTTTACTCCCGACGCCTTCAGCACATTTCCTCAAAATCTCGCTCAATCTTCGTCTTCTTCCTCGTCACCGCCGCCACCGCCTTGACCCTTCTTCAGGTTCTTCCGCTTCACACGACCGGCTCTTCCGCCGCCAAACGGCGACTTCAGCGAGAAATCAATATGCTTTTGCGAATCCAAACGCACCATGAAAGAAGGCACGTTCACGACCTGTTTCCGAACTCTGATGTGTCGTTGACGAATGAGAACTCGGGCATGATGAAACGACTTAGCCAGTCCAAGTTTGAACACCTGTGAGAAAAGGATTTCAGTAACAAGCATTGAAATAAGTCATACTGTATTTTAAAGATAGAAAGGCAGAGAAATCGATTTCATCCGTTTACCAGAGTAGGTCTGTAAACGCATTCCACTGTATCTATCAACTGGAATCGAAGACTGTATCACGAATTGACAATCATTCAACTCATCGTACTTATCCTTGAGGAAAATCAATGCATTCTGATACCCGAACATTGTTTGTCACATGAGGATCCTAAATAAGAAAAGCACAATGACGGTCCTACATTACGTTTAAATGTTCAGCAGTCTTTCAGACTTTCATAAAAGCTCCATATATGGATAGTCTTCCACCTACTTCGCACGAATAGTAGTCACCCTAACTTCGCATACTACCACCACCACTGAATTTTGGACAAACGAAAAGTGAAAGGAAAAGTGCTTAGTTTTATCATCACTGGCTACGTAAAATTCACCTGCGTTTGCAAACGTCGCTCTAGGAAGTCTTCAATCTTGAGGCCCAAAACGTAATCAAGCTTCATACGTCCTTCGTCTAACACCCCGATTCTTACAAGGCGACGGAGCAACGCATTTCCTTCGAAGAGACGACGTTCATTCTTCTCGTCCAACGTGAGTAGCTCACGAGCGGCTTTCCGGATCTTGGCCAAGGTGTACCTTACACGCCAGACTTCACGCTTGTTACGCAGTCCGTATTCACCGATAAGTTTCAATTCCTGGTCGAGACGCGCTTTTTCGAACGGTGCTGCGCCGCAGTGCATGCAAAATCTTATCTGCCAGAAGTGCGCTTGGTAGAGCTGCTGGGGACATTCTTTATAGGTATTTATGTCGGCAATTCGAGGTCTTACCGCAACCGACGTCGACAATTTGACCAGAATCTGATGCTCAACACAAAATATAATTTGAAAAATGCACCTTTGGATTAAAGGTAGGAAAATGTTTCTGCGAACACAGAAGCAGAATCGGAAGGGATAAGCGCACTGATCACCGTATAACGATAATAACCCGAATTTCGATAAGAATCAACCAGACTTTTCATGAAGTATAAATGCTCCTCTCAATATTCTCTCATAAACTTTATGCAATCGGCCTTCATTAATTTCAAGAAACCGGAAAACGGACTAGAGACATTTTCGTTAGATGCACGTATGATGATTTTCAAGAGGTACGCCATGTTTGATCACTAGATGCACAGAATTTTCAATTTGCAAAGTTGCATCTCTTTGCGGGGGAAGAATCGTCCCTCATAAGATGTCTGCGCTCTGTGGCAAAAGTGTCGAAGCGCGAGCGTATGGCGAAGTTCGAAGCAATGTTTTTGTATGCACGACATGTCTTTGTTATTGTCCATGCGCTTGATTAAGACTTCAGATAAGTTGTCAGTACTTCACTCCCTGCCTTGCATATGCGCGTAACAGATTTTGTGCGGTTCGAAGCAATCTATCGTATATTTTGAAGAAAATTGTGATCCAAGGGATGGCAATAGCGCGGAATATGTTTAACAGGGTTATGTTCGCCAAGGGATGTCCGTGATGTTCGAGATTCTTGTTCACGTAGTGATAAAAGTACCAAAACTTCCTCAAGTGCGGATTTGAAAACTTATAGAAAAGGCTTAGGTGTCTTAGTACTTTCTAAGTGGACGGTCTAGACGTCGCCAAAGTCCTCTACCTAGAAGCTTCCGCAGCTCCAGAGATGGTGAGTTTGGAACCATTCAGGCTTGTATAATTCATGTTTCTTGTCGGTCTTCATTTCGTTATGACATAATTCTGTGAAATTCGATTGAATCCGTGTAGGACATGGCATGGAAGAACTTCTCTCAGAGGTGGGCGAAGGGCAGCGCGTGGTCCTCGCAGAAAGCGAAGATGATGCGCAGTACATTATCGTGATGGACGATGCTGAAGGTGGTGTGAATGCGGCGAACGCGGAAAAAGAATCTATTCACGGAACCGAAGACGTCGATTCCGGCACAGTTTTCGTCGTGGAACAACCCGACGGCAGTTATCAAATAGTCGGTGCTCCGAATGATTCTTCAAACCAAGTGCTTATTGACGAAGATGTGGATGCTTCAACTGTTCAGTATTTGGTCGACGAATCACCCTTATAAAACCAATTACTTTTGCCACTTGGCGATGTCCACTCACAAGAGCTTAATAGTTACTCACTCTTTTCGCAACGCAGTGACACACAGACCACAGGACCTTTTTTGGAGGTGAAAGAATGTTCCCTAAATGACTGTTCTATGAGAAGAATTTACGAGATGTGTTATTCATATGATGCATTTTTTCACCAAATATTGTGAGCGTTTGCACAGTTCCTCAGAATTTACGATAGGTAGGTGTTTTCGCCTAAAGCCTGTTTGGATTTCGATGGTGTTAGCGTTCTTCTTATGCCTTTTCCACAAAGCCGTTCTTTCCCGTAAATTGATAGGAATACTGTACGAACCTCGTGTGTTATTCCTAGAGCAAATTTGAAGAAGTTCTTTAGCTTGGATTGTACAGTACTGCAAACCTGAAAAAAATGTTCCTTTTCTGTTCTTCCCGAAGTCTCATTTTATACTGGTGAGAATCGTTTTTACAAATCCTGTAACAACGTGATTCTTGTCTCTTGTAGGTACCTATGCAAAACCTCCGATCTTCTGCTGGATCGAAAGGGAAACAAAAAGCAGGATCAGAAGGCGCAGAACCTACTTATTTAGTGATAGAGGACGAGAATGGTCAGCAGGTGATTGTAGATGCGGCTAGCATTCTGGAAGAAAGTGCTGGAAACCCTGCTCTACAGGAAAACATTGCAGCACAATTAGGTAATGCTGATTAGGTCTCTGATCTCGGATTAGATTTTGCTTGGGCAAACTAACACCATTCATTTGCAATAAAAGAGCCTGAACTATAAAAAGTGCTCAGGAAAATGGTCATTCGCCTCGATGATCTCTTGATGACGTCGAGAATTTGTGTCGTTTGGTTGGCGAAATAATTTTGTGGCTTATGATTTTAACTGATTAATGTTGATAGACTCGTTTCAATCATTCTATGAGCAGAAATACTATATGTGACAATTTTCGTATTTTGCAGGAATAGTGACCGATTCACGAAAACGAGCGAGACCGAAGTTCGCGCGACACGCTGTTCTTCCCAAGAAACCCACTTTGGAAGATTCGAAATCTGCGATTGTTTCAGAAGGTACAAAGAAGGACAGCAACAGTACACCTAATAAAGCGGAAAAAGTAGACGGAAATGACAGGGATGCGGAAACGGAAGAGGAAGAGGAGTTCGACTGGTCTCGAATCGACCTCCAGAAGCTGAAGTTCTCTTTGAAGTATGGATGCTGTTTCTGCGGGACAAAGAAGTTAGTACCTTTCAAAACCTTCGTAAGATCAATCAACAGAGCTTGAAAGTTAGCTTTTGTTAATTTGAAATGGTAATTTAATGCTCTAAAAAAAAAAATCATGTCCGTCCTCATTCATCCAATTGAATTCAAAAGAAAGAAGTGATGGACTGACAAAATTTTGGACATCTTCAAAGAGTCACGTCGAATGCTGGAATATTTTAGACATTTTATTCTTATAGTTGACACTTGGTAATTCGAACCTCCGTAAGTCAAATACTTCCCTATGTCGATTTTATTTTGACTTCGAAACAATGCATTGAAATCTTCTTCAACTCAAAGATTGCCCCCCTCAAACCTCCGTGACTCGAACTTTCGAGGGACCTCTCAGCTTTTTTTTTTATTGACACATTTTATTGAAAAGCATTAAGCATCTAAATTTGTGTGCCTTAAAAAGATAGACTAACTCTTGCCTCCACCTTCAGCATTTGATCAACTCATTTAAGAAGCAATTTTAAAGCCCAGAATATCACGAATTTTGATTTCCTGTAATTCTTTCTTTCACCCAACAAAGAATGCACGACCTGAGAAGCACGAGAAGACGTGATTGTAATTTCATTTTTTTTATGCAAAGGTACAGAAATTTGGAAGACCTGAAGCGACATAGAAGGGCGTGTCCGTCCCGAGACCGTCTCGCCTGCAACTCCTGCGTGCCATCGAAACCCTCGCCAGACCCCGTGAAATCCTCCCACCTGTCCCCAGCCAAGCGTCGCACCCACTTGGGTCTCGACATGGACGAACCCATGAAACCCATGATCGAACGCGGCGGGAAATCCGTGCACGGGTCTACCGTGAACGCTCTTCAAGCCTCGGGCGTGGGTAAACACCGATTTGCGACAGCGTCTTCGTCTTCTTCGTCTGCAGCAGCAGCAGCTGCTGCTGCAGCTGCTCGCAACTCGACTTTGAGTCCGCAGAACCTCAAGTGCCGCGTTTGTGGCAAGTTGTTTGTGTCGGCGGAAACGCTGAAAGTGCATCTCATCAACGTGCATTTGCGGGCATCGGCTGTCACTTCCAACGTTTTCCCGACGTCTGGGAGTGTGGTCATTGTTGATGAAGATTCCCATCATGGACAGGACCTCGGGTCATGGTCGTGAACTATTGAAGGCTAATTTTCTGCTTGCCAGTATAATATTTTCTTTTTTTTTGTTGTTCTTGCGGGAAAAAAAGAAACCTGTCAATTTTTTTTCTCTGGCAAAACTCGGTGTTTTCTCGCCAGATCGCTGGAGTTTTCGGATTCATCGATTTCTTTTCTGTTCGGAGTGTGTGTAACGTGGTAACTTTTCCTGGAGAATTTTATACCCGAGGAAAGAAGATGATTATTGACTTCCTAGCATTTCGCTCGGATATAATGAAAAAAGATTCTGTTGTTTACTAATGGGTCGATAACCTCCAATTCTTAGTTTTCTCAGAGATGTATATCATGTCATGCTGATGAATCTTTGAATTCTTGATAGTATGTTCGAAAACGAAATGTTCGTGCCTACAATTATTCCGTGGAAGATAAAATTCTAACTCGATCGGGACCATGAAAAAGGCATGAAAATTGAATTGCAAGAAATCTCAGTTGGATAGAGGAACGTACAGTACTGGGAATTTGCCGTATGCAGTACATCTATTGGTTGAAAAATTTGGAATCTTCAATATTGCGCAAGTGAATCCTGAGCGTTAAATTATTTCATTTTCTGCGTATGTTTTGAAATTTCGAAATAATGTTTTAAAATTTTCTCCAAGTAACACATTTTTCTGAATTACGATACCGAATTTCTGGATCACACATGGATGAAAACTGTGACCAGATCTGTGAATTGACCCTTCTTCGAACGTGATGGATTAATTTATGCCCAGAGGATGAGTTGAATTGATTAAAAATTAGTCATATTTTCGGAATCATTTTTATCGTTTCGGTTCTCGGATATATGTCTGTATCTACTATCGACAGATCATAGTATCCTGCGAAAGGTCTACTTCGTTACACGTACTACGGAAAAAAAATTATGACTTTTTCAAACCCGTTTCCCTTGTTCAGTCGAATGCGAGCGAGAGAGAAGTTGTTTTTTTTACGCTTTTGAAGGGGGGAGTGAACGGGTTCATTGAAACAAATACAATATTGTGCGTGGCGTATTGTTTGACGAGAATCGTGATCAATTTCGCGATTGGGAATCAATTTTTTGAATTGCAATTCCAGAGTGTGTGTTTTTTTGTGGACTATTGAAAAATATGGCCGAGTGGTCGTCGGAAACAGAAGAGAAATTCTTCTGGAATAAGAACATGTTCAAGAAAAACATCAAACGAAAGAACAAACTCATGGCAGCAACGAAGAACAAGCAGATGGAGGAGTTGGCGAAATACTCTTCCTGTCAAGTGGGTCATTTATCTTTTCTGATTGCCCTTTTTTATGTTGAGCAATATACTTGATAGCCAGGAATAATTCTTGAGAAGTGATGAAAATTCTTGGAAGAAATAATTCCATCACACGAAGGAAGAGCAAGATGAAATGAAAGAAAAATATCCGGGCATGGTTCAGATAATCAATACTTTATCAGTCCCTGGGAAAGCGGAGTGATGATTTTTGGACTACACCACATAGGACACATTTAATTCTTCTAGTGGAATCTGGAATACTTTATCCCTCACCTAGTAGATATAAATGAATTTTAGCTACCGAAAAATTACTCCAGATAATGGACTTCACAGAAATGTATTTACTTCAGGGAAAAGTTCTATTGAAAATTCGTTTTGCAGCCTCGTTTTTTTTGAAGAAAAGCTGTATTGATATTTTTTGTGTGTTCACAGTATTCAGTGATTCTCTCAAAAACAATGGGCCGTGAATTTCCGAGTCATGTGTGACAAATTAATTTATGACCAATGGTTGAAAATATTTATATTTTTCGTGGATATAATTACGCGCGAGTAATACCTAGTTTCCCAGAAAATGAATAATACTGAATGATCGATTATTTTTTTCAACAGGGCATTGACAACCCTTGTAATTGCAAGGGTTACAAGCATCACAATCAGAGCCTGGATATTGGTGATGATGACCAGCGGTTAAACGAAATTGGGGAAACGTGTAGAGCGTGTAAACATTCCAAACGTAAGCTGATATTTTGTCTTCTCTTGAATGAGAAGATTTCATCGTTTTATAATTTTTTTGAAAATGCCGAGTACAGTACTGTAATTTTCATTCAATATCGCTCTTGTGATTGATTGATTGATTCGTTTTTTTTTTCAGGATCTCATTACAAGCACCTTCAGGAGCTTCCATTGGACCGGATACACGAGTTGCTGGGTTATGTGGTAGATCTTGAATCACTGTACGAATGTTTGTTGTTGAATCCCGAAGATGACTTCCGTCGCGACATCTATGTTCATCTGTACAAGGTAATCCGCAATTTCATCATGATTCCTGTAATACAGTACCGTATTTTCATGCCGAATCGCCTCACTCGATTTGTTGTTTTTCTAACTTTGATGATTTTCGATTGATTTTGTTCTTCGTTTAATTTGAAAAGGAGTGATTTGCGAATCTTCGTACAATAAAAAAAAATCGTCGTAACGTATTCACGCGAATGTAGGCACCCTTTTTTTCAATTTCAGAAGCTCGAAAACTAGTAAGGGTGCTCGTATAATCTAATATTTTTGCAGTTTGCGTGAATATGCGAATTCATCATGAAATCTTTCTCTTCGCGGCCCACAAAATTATCGAGCACTACATTTCTCTATTTCTTGAATTTAAGTTAAAAACAATCTAAAAGTTCAGCTTATAACGCTTGGAAATGAATGAGTCAGACGAAAGCAAGGGCTTTTTTGACACCTTTTTTGCTTTTCTGGGGAAAACCCAAATTAAGCCAGAAATTCTAGGTTCACGGAGTGGCAGAAATACAGGGAAGAAATTTGTTGCTAAATCTTTGCCTGTTGAATGAAATCCTAATTTTTTGCATTTAAAATCAGTGGGAGGTGCTTATTTTTCGTGTAAATACGGTACATACATGATGAGGCACACTTTGATTCTTTCGGCATGTTCAAAAACGAGTGTTTCCAGTTTTCTAATGTACGATTAATTACGGGATTCCGACTTTATCCTCCGTTGGCATTCATTCTAGTTTTATTTTCTCCTTAGGTGCTGAGAGAAGCAGTGACGAAAAACACGCGGAAAACGCAGTTGACTTGCGGGTTCCACGACCCTCCATTCCAACGGCCGTCGATCGCGGACGCCGTGGAGATCTTCATCGTGAAGCACTACCGAACCGCCACGGAAAGCGAGTGGCAATGCCTGTTTGACGCCGCCAAAATCGTGCTTTTGTTCCTCAAGAACTGGCGCCTCGACACGCCGATGGAATTCGAAGCGAGTCGGTCATCAGTCAAGTCGGACGCCGCTTCCTCCGCCGCCACCGCGGCCTCCTCCGACAAGAAAAAGCGGCGACGCGGCGGCGGCAGCAGCAGCAGCGTTGGTGGTGGCGCCGGCGGCGAAGACAAGGACGAGTTTTCTGCCTACAAGCTCATGTTTACGCGTTGGGTGAGCTTTTGTTGGGCGCCGTCTATTTGCTCGTCGTTGCCCAAGTACGCCGTGACGGAGGTGTTCGGGCGGAACTTTCTCCGCGCCACGTTTGCGAGTTTCCGTCGGGACTTGGAGCAGAAGTTGAAGGAGGAGGCGGACACGTTGACGGACAAGATGCGAGGGTTCATGAGCAAAGTGCTGGCGAGGTTTTTGAACGACTTTGAGGCGACTTTGTGGGACGACGAGTCGTATGTGTGGGACGCCGAGCGGTTGTTGACGCCGGCGGATTTCCCGAGATTCGTCGTGGGCGACGGGAAAGGCAGGCCAGGTGGCGGCGGTGGCGGTGCTGAGGCCGGAAAGTCGAAACGGTGGGTGTGAAAATTGTATGTACAAGTGCCTCTACCTGTTTGAAGATTGTTTTTTGTTTTTTTTGCTGCATTATTTGATTTCATTTTTTTAGCTGAATACCGCTGAACTTTTGTCCTAGTTTTAGAAAATTGTTCAGTATTTAATTTTTGCCTCTTGGATAGATCTCAGCCTTTCTTTTGTTGTGTGCCTGAAAGAATATTGATGGGGTTTCCATGAATATTTTAGGAAAATTGCTTGTGTTGAACAATTTCCTTGAAAAATTGTTTGAAAACTGCTGAGAAATTTCACATTTGTCCTGGCAATTTTTTCTGATCAACGAAAACAATTGGTGGCTTTTTATACTGCTGTAAATAGGAAATACTGGTGAAACTACTACTTATAATCTTCAGTACTCAGCTGACGGTCTTTTTTGAATCATTAAAATACCGGTAATCTTTTTCATGCAGCAGACTTTGCCTTGGGCTAAGTCCATTATCCGAAGCGCCGATTTCTTACTGGAATGTAAAAGTTTTCCTTAGCGAAAAATAATCACTTCAAGCAATTTCTTTGTGAAGTTCTTTGTCCGAGTACACTCCATCTTGTTGACATTTTGCGTAACTGATTTCTTTTTGAAATGGATCAAGTCCATTAACTGAAGCACCGCTGTTCAATTGGGCTGTAAAGGTTGTCATGTGTCGGAAATTGCTCAAATTTTCAATCCATTTATTCGGCATGTTTTCGCTGAAGTACTATACTTCATTCAGTTTAATTTTTCGATGGCGGACGTCTCATTGAAATGCTTCAAGTCCGTTAAGTGAGGCACAGATGTTTAATTGGGTTGACAGGTGAAAATTTCCTTAATTTCAAGCAATTTCCTCGTGGAGTTCTTCGCGCAATTAGTTTATTCATTGGAATTTTTAGATGACCGACTTTTCGTGAAATTTGATCAAGTCCATTAACCGGAACAGCGAGCTTTCATCTGAGTAAAATGCCTGTCAACTGTTGGAAATTGCCTCAATTTTCTGGCCGTTCCGTTTTGAGTTTCTTTGCTAAAGTGCTTTTAGTCAGTAGTTTTTTTTAGTAAAACCAACTTCTCGTCGATATGGATCAAGTCCATTAACTGAAGCAACGCAGCTAAATTGAAATACTGTGGAAAATATTCTCAGCTGTCAAAAAAAAAATGCTTGAACTTTGAAGCCATTTTCCCCGACAAAAAATTTTTTTTTTAATTTTGAAGTGATGTGTTTCTTCGATTTTCTCGCAGGCCTGGAAAAAGACCCAAGCCGGAAGAAGACGACGATGCGTCGGAAGCCAAGCGTCGGTGTTTCCTCGAGTCTGGGAAACAAGACTTGCCCCCGGAACACCTGGCTGCCCTGACCGCGTGTTCCTCAGCAGCATCCACGTCATCATTTTTATCCAACGTGCTTCTGTCTCCGATGCCCAGGGCCCCCGAACACGCGGCCAGGGATGAAGGGGCCAAGGCGGAAGAAGCCCGGGGTCTGATCTCGTTCCACATGCTGGGCAATGCCATCAAGAGCCGGTGTGTGACCCCGTTGGAAATGGAGTGGCTGGTGGGACTGCAGAATGTGTTTTCGCACCAGTTGCCCAAGATGCCCAAGGAGTACATCACCAGGCTGCTGATGGACCCGTGAGCTTTTCTTTTTTTTTTTTTGTGTGTGGTGAAATTTCATGCGCCTGCTTCTGTTTTTAGTTTAGAATCCCCGAAAAAAAAAGATAATTTCAGAGAAAGACAGTGTACAACTGTACATCAACGTTTTTCTGTTTCAAGACCTGTCAAAGAAAAAAAAATCACCCTGGAAAAGTCACACAGTTTGTTTTATGCTGGGATCAAGTTTTTGTCTTCTTTGAACGAAAGGATTAGTTTCTTGAAGATACCTTAGGCAAATTATTTTTACGATGTTATGAAGGATACATTTTTACGCATCCTGCTTTCTTTTAATTATTCAAGGAAAAAAGGAAATAATTATTTAATTATTCAAGGAAAAAACATTTTTAAATAGTTGAGCATTTGTCAAGATATTCTGCCGAAATAATTTAGTGTATTTTGGTTGGGCTGATACGAGGGGTTGTCAGCAAGTGTCCGATTCAATAATTTAAATGCAAATTTGGTTGAAAATTGGTCGAGTTATTCTACCGAAATTATTTATTTTGATCAGGCAGATTCGAGTGGTTTTCCGAAACTTTCCTTCATCTTATTCAATTATTCAAGCTAAAAAAAAAGGGAATTAAAATTCGGAATAGTGGAGTTGGTCGAGTTACTGTGACGAAATTAAATATTTTGTTCAGGCAGGTACGAGGGGTTTCCAGAAAGTTTGCGCCTTTTTTTTTTACTTGAGTATGAAAAGTTCAATCTTCGTTGAACCTTCCTTTAAGCCACGTTTTTGTACGCCTTTTTAGTTTTAAAAACGTTTAAAAAAAATTGTTAACCTCCATAATTTGAAATTCTGTGTGCCAGCTCCAGGATTTATTTTCTGACAATTTTAGGGCCATAAAATCTTTTTGAAACCCCCGTTTGCATATACAGTGCAGGCAAAAATTTCGTGCCTCATTTCCATAAAATCATGTTCTTATTATAATTATTTGTATATTTTTTCAATTTTAGGAAACACAAGACACTGACCCTGGTGAAAGATGGCCGACCGATTGGTGGGATCTGCTTCAGGTGTTTCAAGCCTCAGGGCTTCACAGAGATCGTGTTTTGCGCTGTGACGAGCAGTGAACAAGTCAAAGGCTACGGCACCCACCTCATGAACCACCTGAAGGACTACCATGTCAGAATAGGTGTGCTTCAGTTCCTCACCTACGCTGACGAATTCGCCATTGGCTACTTCCGCAAACAGGTGAGACTAGAAAAGAAAAAAAAAAGAAATAAATTGTAGGATTTTGGAGAAAAAAATTGTTTTTTGTGTACAGGGTTTCACTGCAGAGTATCCAGCAGTTCCGTCTGCTCACGTCTACTCGGGGTACATTAAGGAGTACGAAGGTGCGACTTTGATGGGCCTGGTCCTGAACCCAGTCATACGATACACGGACTTCACAGCTGTCATCAGGCGGCAAATCGCCATAGTTCGACAAATCGTGGATGACACTGGCCACAAACTGGCTGCAGTGGAGCATAAAGCGCTCAAGGACTCGAAAAAGTTTCAGGCCCACGGTCCGCTGTTGGAGTACTTTCCAGGGGTATCAGATGGGATTGTCATACCGGAGTTGAGTGATGGCAAGGTGGAGGAGGGTGGGAAAGATGGACGGATGGGTTCTCGGAGAACCGGGGTTGTGTTTGCTGCGGATGCGCACAAGAAGCTCACCCAGGTGCTGCATGGGTTGCTGCATGCTGTGATGAAGCATCAGAGTGCGTGGCCGTTTCTCAAGCCAGTGTCTGTGGAAATTGCGCCTGATTATTATGAGCATGTCAAGTTTCCCATGGGTGAGATATTTATTTATATTTTTAAAATCTGTGTTATGACTTATGATCACAGATTCCAAGTTTGGTCCTAGCAGTCTTTTAAATGCTGGGTTTTTTTCACATAGCAATTTAATGTTGCAGCTTAAAGTTCAGCTATAGGTGGAACATCTTCTTTAAAATTTTGACAGCAACAATTTTATCTGTATAATGAATTTATTTTTGGTTCCATAGTGCTTTTTCCCCATGTCAAAGGGGTCCTTTTTGATGAAATTCTCTCTACAGCAAATGTTTTTGATCTTTTGAATTTTGTTATGGGGAAGTTCCACCTGAATTGATTTATACAGTTTCAAAGCCTTCAATTCAATTTGATGCAGTGTTTGAACCTATGTCTGTAGTATGAACAATTTTCCCAGATGGATTATTTCTTCACCTGCATTCTGAAGTTTAGCCTGTGGCAAGAAAAGTTTTTGGGATACATTTTGAATGTTCTTCTTGTCAAGTGATATATTGAATATGTTCAGCTTCTGTTCCTGCCATTTGTTATCTTCAGCTAACCTGTCTAATAGAATATTCAGTAAATTATTGTCAAAAGCTTTGGTGACCTGACGAAAACCTTTGTTACAATAAAAAAAAAATGTTTCATATGAAGAAAAAAATAAAATTGAAGCTATACTGGAGGGACCTTGAGATAAATTTCTCAAGAATTGAGGGGTTCTAAATATAATTTGTTGTAATGAGATTTCTTGTAGCAACACTTATAACTTCTTATCCTGCAGTCTGTACCTGTGAAAAGGGTCCTGTTTTATTTTGAAATAATTTCAGGTAGTTTTTGATCATCTGGTATAGGTTATAGTCAGTAATGACATTTTATGTTTTTTTATCATTCTTAAATTTTACAAGTGGGTTGAAAAAATGAAATATCTTCAATTCTATACATTTTCCTGCAGTTTTTGAATTTGTGGAACAATTTACGTTTTCTTTTGGGGCGGTTTAAACAATGACTGATTTTCTTCTGCAGCAAGTCCCAACTCTTCTTTTCTGTAACATCAAAACGTTTTTCACGATGACTTTGATGTGTGAACTGAAGTGAACTAAAACTGAATATCTTTCTTTTTCGAACAGATTTGAGCACAATGGAGAAGCGACTGAAACACGGTTATTATAGACACCAGCGACTATTCAAAGCAGACTTGACCAGGATGGTGAGCAACTGCAAGTTTTACAATTTACCAGAAACCGAGTACTACAAGTTGGCAGAAAAGCTGGAGAAGTACTTCTTGACCAGGTGGAAAGAGCTAGGCTTGGATGACATGTGAAGAAAACATTTTTTTTAGAGAGATCGAAACGTATGTTTTTTTATAAATCATCCAAGTGTGAACTTTTTGGCTCTTTGAAAAGTGATGTGCTGTGCTGTGGATCTGCTCCCGCATTAAAAATACCCTAAATTATGAAAAGAAAAAAAATATCGGCGTTATTTTTTTTATTCATTTTCCGAACGTAAATATTGATGTCGAGTATTTTTGAAGATGAACATGCTTTTCTATCAATTCAAATGGGACTCGCAAAGAAATGGATTGCTTTTCTGGTGCTTTTGCCGTTTCTAGTGACAAGACTATTCTTTAGGAGAGAAGTTCATGCTAACTTCGATCCAATCGAAAATTTACAAGCAATGGTGTTCTACAGCCAATTTAAATACTTGAACCAGTCAACAGTGAACATGAGTTCTGAGCAGTGGGATGCAATGTTACCAACTCTTGGAAATTCAACAAATGGTTCATGGCAGCCAATTGTTGGACTGGAGAAAAAGTCCCATGTCTTCTCAGCATTTTACAATGTTGTCAATAACACTATTCAAGTGATAGCCATTTTAGACAAGGACAACTTTGACAACCTCGCATGCATATTTTACAACACTGACAAAAAGCCTGTATTAGAAAATACTAAAGAAAAAGCAACAGTTGAAGCCTGGGTGTTGCAATATTCTGGCTTGTATGAACTTTCCGTAATTTGTCCAAATGTACCCAAGGGAACTGCATTTGTCTCAATTGTTCCACATAATGATGAAACGAAGCATCCTCCTGGAAACTGTCTCAGGGTTATCCAACCAACTGGTGTTGAAAAATCAGGGATCACAATGTGTTCCAAATTAATGTCAAGAAATTACAAGGACATTGTTCAGTTGATTGAGTTCATAGAGTACCATGCACTGATAGGTTTCAAAGTCTTCATCTTTTATGTTCATGGGTGTAGTCCACAAGTTGCATGTGTTCTCAAGCATTTGGCAAATGATGTAAGTCCTATTTTTTTTCTCAAGAATCTCCAGGTTTTGGCATTTAAATAAGTAAAAAGTAGCTGAGAGTAATGTAAGGTTTCTTTTCTTGCAGAATAAATTAATTTTTTCATGCCCCTTGTGAAGGAGGATTTTGAAGATGAATTCTTCAGTTGACAAAAAAAAATTTTCAAATGTATGCATTTTCTTTCTTCTTTGAGATTAGTATTATTCTCAGATGATTAAATATATTTGTGTGCTTCTGAGGGTTAGCAGCAGGATTTGATTTAAAGAAGCACTAGATTTTAAAATTATATATTGAAAACCTTTTTCATTCACTTCAGGGATAAATTCTGTGTAACACCATTAGTTGTTGGATCATGAATATCAAGAAAAGCATACTTCACCTGTGATGGTGGTACAGCAAGATAGTAAATTTCATTATAAATCAAGGAAAATTTTGAAGATAAATTCTTCTTGAGGTAATGAAGAAATTGTCAAATGTATCATTTTTCTTTCTTGATCCAGATTATTATTACTCTTGGATGTTCTTTGTGTGCTACTGAGGATTGGCAGGATTTTGGTGCAAAGAATTATGACTAGCTGTTATACAGTATTTAAAGGAAACCTTCTTATTAAATTCATTGAGAAATCCCATGTGACACTAATATTCAGTTGTTGAATCAGGATCATCAGCAGGGAAAGTATACTTGACTTGTGGTGGTACATTTGGATGATAAATATAATCATAAACATCTTGTTTCCATCAGGCAATGGAGTTCTTCAGAGAATCTAATAAGACCTACCAAGTATTAGTCACTGACTATGAGTTGCCTTACACCTGGGCAGAGCTGTTTGAGTATGCCATGTACAGTGCTTTCAATGACTGTGTGCTGAGGACTCATGCCTTGGGCTTGCAATATGCTGCTGGGATGGACTTGGATGAGATTCTGGTGCCTGGGGTCAATAAGACACTACCAGAGCTCTTTGACTCTCATCCCAATGCAGCATCCTTTGAGGTGTCCACCAGGAAGCATTTTCCATTGTTTCTACCTGATGATGATGGATTCCTCACCCCTGCTGCTGCTGCTGATGGACTCACCAGCACCATGAGACTCAGAGTCCTGAAAAAGACTCTGATGGACAATTTGACTGACATGAGGGGCAAGACAATACTGGATGTTGAAAGGGCTGTTTTTCTGAGTTCACATTATGCAGGTTGTGCCAGAAACATCCTGTATAAACACATCAGTGTTCCCATGGAAGATGCCATGATACACCATTACAGAATCTTCCCAGGGAAGCTCCCTCAGAGATGGACAGGGTACTTTGAAAATACCTGGAACAAAGTCAGTGGTAGATTTCAGACTACCAATGCTAGTCATCCCCAAGCAGAAGTCAGATTTGTGAGGAACAGATCCCTGTGGAGGTTTTCTCAGGAGTTGACAAGCAGAGTTGCTCAGCTGGTGACAGGGTTGCCAAGCCAGTGCCAGACATATTTTAAAACCTGGGAGTTTGACCAGGACTATTTGGACAGCTGTCATGATTTTGCAATTTTGACTGGGTATATTTGCTCCAAGGATCCTAGTGTTTATTGAAAGAAGATATTCAATCTTGATTCCTTTCTGATATGTTTCCAAAACTAATAATTACCCTTTCTGGTTGATGAGATTTTTATTCATGCTAGTGGCCATCAGTAAGGAAGTCTTAATAATCAGGAACTATACAATGAACAACTTTGTGAGATTACAGTACTATAAAATAACACACATCATACAGATAATTTTGAAATAATTTTCTACATTCAGGATATTTTGGGGCACTTCCCAAGTAGGGAAAATAAATAATTACACATAACCCATCATATATGATGGTTGTGGAAATCTTGAGTGAACCTTGTGAAAGCTGAAAAGTGGCAAATAAAGTGTTCTGTTCATTCATTCATTCATATATGAAGCACACTGCAAAGAAGTGTTTATCATGTTACTCAGTCAGTCAGGCTTCGTGTTTTTCCACCCATAACAAAATGCAAGTGATGTACATTTAATATGCCACGTGTTATTGCAATTAAAATTTCATTTTTAAAATATATTGTACTGTAGTAGGATATATAGTGAAGTATGGTATAGTCATGCTTCACATGAGTGTAATGCATAAATTTAAATTGAAAAAGGTACTGCATGAAGATACAGTATACAGATACTGTGCTGTGTGTAAAAACAACATTCAAAGAGAAAACATCAGTTTCCAATTCTCATGTATTTCCAAGAAGAACATCTCACTTTTTACAAGCAGTTGTCCTGCACTTGTATGCCTTAGTAGTCCTGCAAGAAAATGAGGTTGTCCTGCATACATAAGGTGAGGTGGTTCTACAAGAAAAGGAAGTGGTTCTACACTGGTAAGGTGAGGTGGTTCTACAAGAAAAGGAAGTGGTTCTACACTGGTAAGGTGAGGTGGTTCTACAAGAAAAGGAAGTGGTTCTACACTGATAAGGTGAGGTGGTTCTACAAGAAAAGGAAGTGGTTCTACACTGGTAAGGTGAGGTAGTTCTGCAAGAAAAGGAAGTGGTTCTGCACTGGTATGGAGTTGTAGTCCTGCAAGAAAAGGAAGTGGTTCTGCACTGGTATGGAGTTGTAGTCCTGCAAGAAAAGGAAGTGGTTCTGCACTGGTATGGAGATGTTGTTCTGCATGAGAAGGATGTAGTCCTGCATTGGTAGGGTGAGGTAGTTCTGCATTGGAATGAAGTGGTTCTGCATTGGTATGGACTGGTGGTTCTACATTGAAATGAGGTAGTCCTGCATTGGTAGGGGGAAGTGGTTCTGCAAACAAATGATGTTGTTCTGCATTGGTAAGGGGAAGTTGTTCTGCAAACAAATGATGTTGTTCTGCATTGGTAAGGGGAAGTTGTTCTGCATTGGAATGATGTTGTCCTGCACTGGTAGGGACTGGTAGTCCTACACAAGAAAGAAGTGGTCCTGCATTGGTAGGGACTGGTAGTCCTACATTGAAAGGAAGTTGTCCTGCACTGGTATGGACTTGTAGTCCTACACTGGAAGGAAGTAGTCCTGCATTGATATGGACTTGTTGTCCTGCACTGGAATGAAGTGGTCCTGCATTGGTAGGGACTTGTGGTCCTGCATTGAAATGAAGTGGTTCTGCATTGGTAGGGACTTGTGGTCCTACACTGGAAGGAAGTAGTCCTGCACTGGTATGGACTAGTGGTCCTGCATTGAAATGAAGTGGTTCTGCATTGGTAGGGACTTGTGGTCCTACACTGGAAGGATGTAGTCCTGCACTGGTAGGGACTAGTGGTCCTACATTGAAATGAAGTAGTTCTGCATTGGTATGGACTGGTAGTCCTACACTGGAATGAAGTGGTCCTGCACTGATAAGGTGTAGTAGTCCTGCACTGGAATGATGTTGTCCTACACTGATATGGACTTGTAGTTCTGCATTGAAATGAAGTGGTCCTGCATTGGTAAGGAGTTGTTGTCCTGCACAAGAAAGATGTAGTCCTGCATTGGTATGGTGTGGTGGTTCTGCACTGGAATGATGTAGTCCTGCATTGGTATGGTGTGGTGGTTCTGCACTGGAATGATGTAGTCCTGCACTGGTAAGGAGTAGTTGTCCTGCACTGGAATGAAGTTGTTCTGCATTGGTAAGGAGTAGTTGTCCTGCACTGGAATGAAGTTGTTCTGCATTGGTAAGGTGTTGTTGTTCTGCACTGAAATGAAGTTGTCCTGCACTGGTAAGGTGTGGTAGTCCTACATTGGTAAGATGTAGTCCTGCATTTGTATGGAGTGGTGGTTCTGCACTGATAGGATGTTGTCCTGCACCTATATGGAGTAGTTGTCCTACACTGATAAGATGTTGTGCGACATCTATAAGGAGTTGTAGTCCTACACTGATAAGATGTTGTTCTGCACCTATACGGTGTGGTGGTTCTGCACTGATAAGAGGTTGTTCTGCATTTGTAAGGTGTTGTGGTTCTACATTGATAAGATGTAGTCCTGCATTGGTATGGTGTAGTTGTTCTGCATTGATAGGAGGTAGTCCTACACTGATATGGTGTTGTAGTCCTGCACTGGAAAGAAGTTGTCCTGCACTGGTATGGTGTAGTAGTCCTGCACTGGAAAGAAGTTGTCCTGCACTGGTATGGTGTAGTAGTTCTGCATTGGAATGAAGTTGTCCTGCAC